GTATTGTCATGAAATTTTGATAATCAATGATGTCTGTTCACCACCCCTCAGGTAATTTATATATTTAATTACTATAAAAGCTTTCGTTTTTATTACTGAAGAATTCAAATAGATAAGTTTTGACGTTTTTTGTATTTTATAAGGATCAAAATAATTAGAAAACTATCAGGGGAACATCAGGTGAGTACTACAGATATGTTAATATTATATTTATCAATCAAATTGTAATACATTTTTGCGGATCCATAATGAAATTTACGGACTAAAATTAATATAATGAAAAATGGTACTCTCCTACAACATTAATGATGTCCACCTTATTTCTTTTTCTTGTATATAATTAAAATTTTATTGCTAATTTAAGGTTTTGTTTTTAATAAAATTGGAAATAAACTACTATTATTCTGAGTGACATATATGCGACTACTGCAGAGACGCTCAGCAAGTACTTACTAAGCCGGACACGGGCGCCCGCCAATGCCCGTATTTGCACGCGTGCAATGCTACGAGCCCGAGATGCTGTCGACCAGGCCTGGCAGAGTAGGGGAATCCACTTCTGGAACACATGTTTTTGGTCCCCTTTCAACGCTGCTCCTTCAAGTAAGATGGGACGGTTCCGACTACCGCCTCTCCATCTTTCCTAGCGGCGGTACTGTCTCCTCGGAGAGACGGTAGTCGGAACTGTCCCATCTTACTTGAAGGAGCAGCGTTAGAAGAGGAACCGGAACATGTGTTTCAGGAGTGGTTTTCCCCTGTTTGGCCTGTCCAAGTACGGGAATCCACTCCTAGAATACATGTTTCGGGTCCCCTTCCAACGCTGCTCCTTCAAGCAAGATGGGACGGTTCCGACTACCGTTTCTCCGTCTTTCCTAGCGGCGGTACTTTCTCCTCGGAGAGATGAAGCTTGAAGGAGCAGCGTTGGAAGGGGTCCCAAAGCATGTGTTCCAGGAGTGAGTTCCCCTACTTGGGCAGGGGAGTGAGTTCCCCTATTGTAGGGGGCTATAAAGATTTCACTCGGAAGGAACACTGGGCTGATTGGTCGTGCCCCGACCTCAGTTCTCGCGTACTTTCGACCATAGTATACACTGACAATGAGTCCCATCGAAATTGTCGCAGTGAAGTTGGCTACACATTCACTAACACATTCACACCGCGTTGTCGGCACCACGTCCATCGGCTCACCGTCGCGGCGTGAATGTGTTAGTGCGCCAACTTCACTGCGACAACTTCGATGGAACTCAGTGTACTATTGGCTAAAATTGTCACATTTACTAATTAGGCTCATGTAAAACTAGAGAGTCGGTCGGTGTTTGCGAAGCACCCCCTTTTTTTTAACGTGGGGAAGTTTTTGATAAGACTTCCTACTGTTCACTTGTGGAGAGTAGTGGGGGAGTGTCTGATTCCTACAGACTTAAACCCCACGGCGACCGACGCTGACGCTATAGGACAGAGGAGGATTCCGGGGCTTCTAACGAATTACGCCGGAACCCTCCACGCCTGGCACACTGGTATCCTTTCTACGGAGAATCCCCTTTGCTTCCTATGTCATCCTGGGCGCAATCTTTATACTTCGCTACAGTACTAATAGGTTCGTGCAAAACTATAAGGCCGGTTGATGTGTCCTCAGTACCCCTTCTTACCCCTGTGTCGTTCTAAAAGACTTGTAAACGGAGGACAGTATATCTTACATATAGGACATTGGATTGTTTCAGAAAAAGACGTGATTCATATATGAATTGACCAGTAGTTGTTTCTAGTTGATTTGAACAATATTATAAATAATCCAATTTTTGTTATCATTGGTCTGGTGAAAAGTTCAACTTTATACTATTTAATAAGGAAGTTTTGCAGTTTCATCAGATGTTAGGGAATCAATTCCTATGAAATATTTGATAAATTGGCAATATCCCATATCATATATCATGGATTCTTTTCAATTAATGTGAATATCTGGTTACCATCAATCTTACCTGGTCTTAAATTGGTCTTCTACTTCGTTCTCTATTTCCCAAACTGAAATCTCCATTTCTGAATTTCTTCAAACCATTTCTATTTTATTTCCACGGTACACTATCTTTTCTAGAAATACAATAACGTCAAATGCTAGAAATAAAAGTTATGTTCGCGAAATTTTAATCTCACTTGAATAATAAAAAATGTATTATTTTAAATTCAAAAATTCTTTCGCAATTTGATACAAGCTTATAAATACCGCTTTTATCAAAATTCACCTTTTGAGCTGAAAAATTATTATAGTCGTTTTCAAACTTCAAAATTATAGTCGCTTCAACAATTTTTATTTAAACAATTTTCCAAAATTATATTTACTTAATAATGTCAAGGCTAGGACCTGTGTGCCGTTGCTAAAATGTGACAATTGATGCGACATAAAACTTAAAATAAGAAAAGTAAATAAAAGATGAATTGAAGTGTTCGAAGCAAGTAATTCTTTGCAGAGTCCATTCTGCAGTATATGGTCCTGCATTATTCTTCAATATCTGTGCTTAATGCACTATCTTGCATTATTTCGAAGAAAGAGAGCATCCTCACGATTTATCGATCCTTAAAACCTTTTCGAGTACCATTTCGAGTTATGTCGAGTATATGTCCTCAGTAATGGTTTTGTCTTGGCTACAATTCAAAATGCCCACTATACGTATCAGAATGTTTGTTCATTCTTCCTGTGGTTTATCTTCAAGAAGTTTATTGTCATATCTGGATTTTCAAAACCACTTTTATGATATTCATTCTTTTACAAATATTACAGCAGAAAGCACTATAAATTTACTTGACAGATTTTACTATTTGGATATCAACAGTCACATAGAATAAATAAGAAGTGATTTTGGATTTTGGATAGAAACCAATTTTTCCTATAAACTGAATCATTCCATCAGTTTCTTGTCTTTGAAAAATATTTCTGTATAGTCGTGTGAAATGTAGGCTTTCCTTGACTAACAATAAGGAAAGTTGTAAAGAAGGGGCTTAATTATATTTCTTATCCGTCCAGAATGGAAAGGTTTGTGTTATGTTTTTCTTAGATCTTCCCAAAGTCGAAAGCTATATCGCCATTTTCCATAGGAAAGCCTCCTTGCTTGGTGTTGTACATTCAGGTGCAATGTAGGCTTTTTTTTAAAACCGTTCAAATTAGGTAACTAATTAGTAGAACTAAGGGAATAGACCCGTACCAATAATTTTCTAAAGCTAGGAAGACTATTTCTTTCTTTTCCATTCTTGGGTTTAGGTCTCTCCTTTTTTTCAAGTTACTTGCCTAGTCTAAGCAACGCCAGATTAAGGGGAAATCTGTGGGGAAATACAACCCCGAGCCATACTTTCCAGAGTGGTCAGTGATAAATCTTCCATTTCAAAAAATATTAAATTCATTTTTTTCTACTCTTGCCCTTTTTTACAATTAAATTTTATTTAATTTTATTTAGAATAAATTTTTATTTTCAGTCTTTATCAACCAAGGTTTAATAACCCGGGCTTAATAAATCTTAATCCGATCTCGACTCTGAGCAATTCTTCAGCTAACCATAAGTAGAGAGAAGAACATTCTACTTCTTGCCATTCATCTTGGAACCACCTAGGGAGAACCTAACCTAAAAACTCCTGTCCTCACACATGAAGAACACAGATAAATAATGCGAGTGGTTGAATCCTTCTTTCTTTAATTCTACATAAAAGTGTAGAGACTGAGACGTTTTAGGAGTTATTTTGTTTGTCCTTTTGTTAAGTTAGTTTCTCCTTAAGTTCGTTTTAAGTTCTTTTAACAATAAAGGCTGATGGAAGACTTTTTCTCTTACATTTATCTTTAGCCATGAGAAGTCTATATTGCAACCAAGTGTATATACCAAATGATAAAGTTACAACGAAAGAAAATGCCATAAATTTTCTGGGGTACATACTAATATGTTTATTCTCAAAATTCGAACGAACTTATTACTGAATCTAATATATTATAGACATATGTCAATTTGTTTATTTGTTTTAAATACTAGATATTCTTTATATCTGCATAAATATCCATTTATGTACACCGATCTTGCAGAATGTGACTGTATAAGCTTCGAGTGACAGTTGTTTTTGCTGTTCACACGATATACCTGCTTAATACCTACCAATGGAGCGTCTTCATCTTTTTTACAATAATTATTATTCCTAATTAAAGCAAATATTATTGTTTCTTGCAGTACTAAATAGTTCAATTGTCATTAATTTTTGGAAATGAAGGAATCTTTGGTAATTATTTAAAATTGAGCCTTATCCAAATTTTGATAATTTTATTGTTAAATTTCTGATTAATTATCTCTATCAGACACACAGAAAATTTGGGAAGTACTGGATCTTTAAATAAATAATTTGAGTACCTTAAATTAATTAAATAAAGTAACTTTAAGTACTAAATAAAATACGTAAAACAAATTTTCTAATTAGCAAATGTTTGCTTCTGAAAACAAGGACGTTGATTAATTAACATTACCTAAAACACGATATCAATTGATATGTTCATTCACTTACCGAGCAATCAACGTTCCAATGAACATTCAGCTAACTAACGCATCGGCAAATAGCCAACGCAATTCCAGCTTGAAATTACAGCTTAAAATATTCATGCTCCTATATTGGAACTGACATGCATAGTATCTCTAAGGGATTATGTAACCCGGATACGTATTTTTATCATGGCTATACATTCAAATCGCTGACCGCTTCTTCTGCCGACAACTTTTATCAAGAAAAAATCGATAAAATATAAATTTAAAGGCAACCTATATGTCAGATTAACACTTTCACTGTTATCAGTCGCTAAAAGTTCAATCACGCGATATCGCGTGCTTAGTAATTTTCTGATGAAATGACGTATTTTCTGATAAGAAGGAGGAAATATTTTGACTGAAGACGCTCCATGGTTGGAGGATCAATATCCTTCGCCCCATCCTTACCGTTCCATTTGAAATGAGGCGATACTTTAGGCCGGCGGATTGTCTCGGTTGCAGCATCCTAGGGATGTACCTGTTCGGGGGTAAGTTTTGCATGTGGGCGGACCGGAGTCGGCCCTGCACCTGTGCCGAGGTGGTCTCGCGGCACCCAATGTGCCGCTGTGATCGCAAACATTTCAACGACATCGTCTGGGCACTAGTCACGGTCTTTCAGGTACCACCGTTCCCCTCTCTTACACCAAAAACACGGTATATGCGCTAAGTATTTAGAAACACATCATACTTTCTTCTCCTTATTCTCTTTACCTTTATCTATTCTTATGTGTATTTTCTATGTCTACGTTTATGTCTGTCTTTGTCCTTCTTTGTGTCTTTGTCTCTATGTCTTTATATCTATGTCTACAGGGTGTTTCAAAGTTGGACAATCAAATGTTGCTATTATATTCTATGAGTAGAAATGAGATTCGTGGATGTAGAAATTTTTATTAAAATATATGTATATCTTTTTAATATAAAAGCAAGTTTACTGATATATTGTAATGTAACACTAATAAGGGGAACTACCCAAGTGTTACACTCACTTATTAATGAAACTTTGCCAGCTTGTAGAGTTCGTCGAGCTGAACACGTCTATACCCCGTTTTGTGGGCAGACGACTAATTGTTTAAAAGATATTAATAATTAAAGTTAGTTACTACTTACATTGAGAAGTATGACAGACTCACACATACAACTCGCAATTTAGAGATCCACGGTTCAAATCCTTGATTCCCAACATTTTTTTTTTTTTTAATGATAATTTGTCTCTTTTTGAATAACTATTACATAAAAATTATCATAGAAAAAAAAAATTTTTTTGGGAACCAAGGATTTGAACCGAGGACCTGCAACTTCCAAGTCACGGATCCACTCCGTGGTTAAATACATGACTCGTGATCTAAAGGTCCTCGGTTCAAATCCTGGGTTCCCGATTTTTTTTTTTTTTTTTTTTTTTAATAATTTTGAAGATATCGATATCCAAATTAGTTTTTAAAAAAATTAATATAATCTCTAATTATTAAATATTATAATGCCATATTTCCTTTAGGAAAGTCTACTATGTCCCAGACTGTACTGAATGCTTCTGGGTATTTTATTGTTACTTGACAGAAATTGAATTTGTTTTATTATCTCTTCTATCTAAACAATAAATAGATGCATATTTAAAAAAAAATGTTATATCCCCAATTTTGCCTTAGTTAAAAATTAAATTCAAATTGAATCTCTCAGTGATGTTTAAAAATAAAAAATTAAACAAACACCTTTTTCAGATTAAAGTGAAGTAGTGTGAACTTTTTTTTAAAATTTTTACTTGTAGAATATATTTGCAAAATTTGGTCGTCTAGCTATGAAACACTCTACCTATCTGTCTCTATGTCTATTTCTATATCTATTCTTATATTTACATCTGTTTGTATCTGTACCTGTACATTTGTTTATATCTATATTCATATTACGTATACATGCGTGTTACATAATATTGTGTGCAGTTTTCTCTTGCTTTTTGTCCTTTCACGTTCCAGCTAACGTTTTATTTTTTTCGATGCGACAGTATATAAATTTTCAATGGTTGTTCCCAATTTTTAGTTTTTCGGTTTTCTCTCTGCGTTTACCTTTGTTATACGTTGCAGCTTAACGAAGTATCGTTACGAATTAACAAAATATTGACAATTTTCTATTTTTTCCATTTTCTACTCTCCCTATTTTTTTTCTTTTTTTTTCGATTAACTTTCGTTGTTCCGTGATAAAATAACAGAGTGGATAATGGTTTGTTTGTTACGCGATTGACATGGTTTTGTTATCAGTCCAAGAGTTAATCGATTACACGGATGTTACGTTAGCCGTAACATCTGACCCTTTTTTTTTTTCAAACAGTTAATAACTGCATCACGTTGTTTCGCTTGTTGCTATGTATGGGAACATAACGAGAGAAATATTCAAATGAAGCTGTAACAATTAGGTAGCCGCTTTAATGATTTTACCAGCTCATTTCAGCCCAGCTTCCTTATTTCAAAATTTTTTATATTTTAATCATTTTGATCCTATTAAATCAAAAATAAAATAAAATTTGCATAATTGAAATGCAGTACAGAAATGCAGTAACAAAAAGATGTATTGTAGAATTTCGTATCCTTCAATGGAGACTGTGAACTGAAATGGGTTAAATATTGAACACAGAGAGAAATTCGTAGTAAAATGCAAATATATCTACTATGTAGGAAGAATGCGCGAGACGATACTGATCGATACCCTTTTTATTCATCTCTCTTATTCTTTTTTAAACTGTCAGTCAGTAGAATTAGTGTATGAAGAATTCGAGCTAATTCTCCTAACTAGATGCTGAGAAAAACGTTTCGTTAAAAGCAATAACAACTGATTTCACGTGAAACTTTATTTTTCACGAGTTAGAGATTTTGCTTATTTATTCGTCTCGCGAAACGTAGCGAAACTTGTTTCTCTAAGGTACATTGAGAACTTTTTGTTTTCTTTTTCTCTTTATATAGATTTTAACGCAGGAGGATTGGAACGTTGTGCTGTTCAACGGAATGCAAAAGACGTCCCATTGGGCAGCGCTTTATTTCGTCGCGTTGATGACTTTCGGAAATTATGTTCTTTTCAATTTACTGGTTGCTATTCTGGTCGAAGGATTTTCTTCGGAGGTATGCCGGTTGCTGCTTCTCAGTTGTGGAAAAAATTGTTTACGTCGACTGCTATACGTGGCTGAACATTAATGACATAATTTTTCAGAGGAATGAAAGAAGGGAAAGAGAACAAAGGGAAATGGCTAAGCTGGCTGCCAAAGAAGCTGGAATGGGCAGCGACGATGGATCATCCAGAATATCTAGATCCCATTCGATCACTGACAGCGATACTTGTACTCAGGTTAAAAATACTACTATTTATTGAATTAACAAAGCTTAGAAATAAGTTACAAGAAAACATAAATTGAATTTGAGACCTGATTTCCACTGCTACAATACCCTACTATTCCATCGTGGGTACCTCATATTTTATACAAATTTTAATTTTAGAGGCCTATTCATATTTTGTGTAATGATATAAATATCAACTAAAAGATCCAAATATTTATTTTTAAATTTTATTAAAGCAACAGAAACATATTTAATATTTTATGTAACCCCCTTGGCTATTGACAGTGCTTTATATTCTTAAAGGCATTTTTGAAATGCAGCAAGCTATGCACTTTATTACTAGTGCATTATGTACCACCGAATCAACGGGGAGTCTAAAGGGGGCTATAGCTCTAAGTGCCACTTTAAAGTGTAAACCTTCTATGTACTATGCCAAAAAATTCCAAAGTTCAGAATCCACCATAATCTTGTAAATTTTTAACTAACATAATTATTATTTCAAAATAAATTCTCATAAATTTAAATTTTTGAACCAAGTTTATCAACATTGAAACGCATTATTGTTTGTTTTAAAAGAAATAATTGTTTCAATGTAGGATCGGAAAAATTCCTGGCAGAGTGCGGAGGAGTTGCGAAAATATAAAGATAACAACAGCAGAGAAAAGCAAAATACTGTCTGGAAGCATCAAATGGACGAGCCAAAGTGCAACATTCAGAAGGAAAATAAAATGATGGGTGGCACGGGACAGCCACCCATAATTACTCACACAGCAGCCACCCCTCAAGATTCACCAAACACTACCCTCGATGTTGGATACAGAGATCTGAATTGTCGAGCTGTTTACCCAACTGCAGCACTGTCAATTGAATCTATCGATCGTTCAGGAGTATGTATAATTTGTTCTCAAAATGTATTTAATATGTATTCAAAATAATACTCAAAATTTACTTAATATATGCTTAAAAAAGCATAAAGCACGGCGAGTCCGTCGCAGCGAATTTTTTGGAGAGGATACAATTCGGGGATTAGGTCGTCTTCAGGATCAGAAGCTAATTGGGCTAGGGATAAATATCGATCGGGGATTGGCCGGTGATCGGGATCGATAGCGCTGACGGAGGCTTGGCGATGCTGGCTGCTGGCTGCTGGCTTAGGGTCCTCGGGCTCGACGTATAGATGGCCCCTCGGCATCGTTTTAGCGGTGTGGTTGGGCGGCTCCTCGCTGTCGCGGGATGTCGTGTCGTCGGCCTCGGGACGGGTTTTCCTTTTCGGTGGTGGCAGCGTCGTTGCTTGGTGTCCTGCCTTTGCCTCTATCGGCCCGATACCGGCGGATGGACAGGGGAACAGGGTTAGGGAAGGGAGTGCTACGGGGACAGGCGCGTGGCAGACAAAAGCCAAGTCGGGCACTAGTGTCACCACATTACAACACCCTCCCGCCTTGACTGGACTTGCGGGCGACTCGTTCTCGGGGTTGCAGGTCGCATATTAATCTCGCATCCATCCACTTCGTCCTGTGAACCTGTAAGAGAAGTGAATTAGATTATTTGGCCCGAAATAAAAGAGAAGAGAAAAGAAAAATAATAAACTGGTACTACTTGCCTTAATTTTGTTTGATTCGTGCCTAAAAATATTGGAGTAGGGAGGAAATTCTGTTAGGTTGCTACGAAGTAGGGATCATTGGGAAGCGGGGTTAGGGCTAGGGGATTATCGGGGGGAAATTGGAGAAGAAGGCGTTCGGGTCTTTCGGAGGGACGGGGGTGTGGGGATTTTAAGGGACATTAGGGATGGGATTCTGTGGCTGCGGGATCCGGGAGGTGGGGGTGTGATTTGGAGGGACATTAAGGGGGGGATTTCAGTAACCGTGAGAGTGGGAGAGGCGTTAGAAGTATGGAAAGGGGAGGACGATTGGGGAGGCGCGGAACCATTAGTTTTTAGGGGTTGTTTCCGAGGTGATATAGATGGAGTGGGAGAGGTATTCAGCCCGGGAAGTGCCTTCCGGGGCCTTGGGAGTGTCGTAGGAGGGGTGTCGGGTTTAGGAAGGGCTTTACGGCGTTTTGGTGAAGAAGGTGAGGAAGGTGGTGAGTGATCGGCTACTGGTCTAATTGGACGGGTCTGGTAATTATTGGGGACATACCGGAGGCGGAAGGCTCTCAAGAACTCACTATAATTCGACCATTTCCGCGGCTGTTCTTGCGCCCACGCTCGCGCCGATCCGGTGAGGACAAAGGGAAGTGTACGGAGGATTTCCGATTCGGTCAAGTTTTGCCCGATTGCGCATTCGGCTAGGATCTCTAAAAATTCCTCCCCGTCCTCGTCGGGGCTTCCCGCGAAGGAAATCTGCCATATACGAAAAAGTCCGCATGCGCGGCCCTCGTCGAGGGGGTGATAGAAAGTATCTTGGGGAATACTGGACGAGGGGCGGAATGGGTTGGTGCTAGATAAGGAGGGTTCAGCGTGAGGCGGGGGTATCATGAACACATTGGAAAAAGGGGTTGGATCGTGGGGGTTGCGTGGTGGGGTCGAGGTTTGGTAGGTGCTACTCTGGCAGTGGTGAGTTTGGATCGGGACGGGATCCGACCTCTCGAGAAAATGGGAATTTTGGAGTTCAGGGAGGCGGAAGGGTCCGTGGGCGATACTTAGGGGGGGTGGAGCGTTTCCTTGATCACTGTGGTACGGGTGGTAAGGGTTCGAGAAGCAGGGAAGGGGGTTACAGAAGGAGGTTTGCGAGAAAGGGACAGAAAAGGGGTTGTCACAACGAGAATCGAAGGGGATGGATTCGGGTCTTCTCTCGGTATTGGGATCCGGCGCGGAAGTAATTCTCTCGCGCCAGGGGTAAGGGGGACGGAAACTCTCTGTTTCTTGGATTTGGGGGTGAACGGGAATGGGATTCGGGACGGAGGTGACTGTAAGGGTTGAGGTGGTTAGGATGGTGGTGGAGGTCATGGTGACTGGGTTGGGGATGTTGTACGGGCGAGTTAATTCGGGGAAGGAGTCGTGGGAAGTATCGATCGCCGTGGCGTTTGTCACGGGATTTGGGTCGTGTATGGGTCGGGGGTGAGGGGTAGGGAGTGATTCGGAAGCGGAATCGTCCGCCACTGGGGCAACCCAGGCGGCGGAGAGAGTGACAGGGAGGCAGTCATCGGCCGTGTCATTTACGAGGTCCCATGGGGCGGCATCCGGGCTGAACACGCATCGGACCTCCGAGCGGAGATAACGGTCCCGGAGTCCCTCTCTCGATCCATGGATGATACGCGCGTGGTCCATATTGAAACGCTCTGAGAGGGGTTCAGAAAAGAAAGGGTGCAAAACAAGAAGGGCGTACAGTTTCAAAATTATAGCACAGTACAAAATATCAAAATCAGCAATTGGCCATTAAAAAAATGTAAAATCGGCAGGCGGCACGATAAGAGTGCTCGGAGTCGGCAAAAGGCACGACCAAGGCACTCAATATCGGCAAAACGCGAGTATTCAAATCGGTGACACAAGCAAAAAAAAATTGTAGAGCAGAGATAATCAAATTCAATAGCATTCAATAGGTTCGAAATATTCAAAAGCAACGTTAGGTCGAAAGCGGTTTTCGTGTCGATTGAGAGGCATTGTTTATTTTTGTATATCGATACGTTAGGATATCGCGTATCTCAATCACAACACCGCGTTCGACCGGCAGCGACAAAAAAAAGTGGCAACATGAGGCTCAACGGTAACGGGCACCTTCTGCGTCGTAATTTCAAGTTCGTAATGGTTTCTGGAATTCTCGATCGTGAGAGCTTATTGAACTTCATAAAATTTTCCTGGCCCCACGTTGGGCGCTAAAGTGATCTTTTCGCGGGGGTGCACTCTATACAATGAAATCTCTATGATTCGTTGGGCGCCAGCTACAGGTGTGGCGATTGGAACAAATAGGGGAGTATCGGGGGTCCTTTACACTAAACGGGGACTCGCGGCTCGACCGAGGTCGACCGTCACACTACGCGGGGGAGTACGCAGAGATGGGAAACTCTAGAGCTGGGAATCTCGGGGAGGAGGTTCGAGGAAGGTTCGTTGCGTTACGCGATCAACAGGGTAATCAAAAAACAGTATCTTTAATGACGGGAAAAAAGGATGGTACGTAATATCGCGATTTACAATTGCGCGGACGGAGAAGGTGGTCGCTGCCAGACTCAGAATTCACAATTATTAAAATCTTAAGGACTTACCAATACGCCGAAACACTCCTAACACACACACTTCAAATCAATACTTACTCTTAACAATCTCAACAAAATCTCAATGTCGCCAAAATCTAACGATGTTGGCCCGTCGTTGTCGCAGCGACGGCGAGCCCGTCGCACGGAATTTGGGGGGGGGGGGATACAATTCGGGGATTGGGTCGTCTTCCGAATCAGAGGCTAATTGGGCTAGGGATCAATATCGATCGGGAATTGGTCGGTGATCAGGATCGACCGGGGATTGGCCGGTGATCGGGATCGATAGGGCTGACGGAGGCTTGGCGATGCTGGCTGCTAGCTTAGGGTCCTCGGGCTCGAAGTATAGATGGCCCCACGGCATCGTTTTAGCGGTGTGGTTGGGCGGCTCCTCGCTGTCACGGGACGTAGTCGGCCTCGGGACGGGTTTTCCTTTCCGGTGGTGGCAGCGCCGTTGCTTGGTGTCCTGTCTTTGCCCCAAAACGGCCCGATACCGGCGGGTGGACAAGGGAACACGGTTAGGAAAGGGGGTGCTACGGGGACAGACACGTGACAGGCGAAAGCCAAGGTATCTTGGTGATTGTAACGGGGGGGCCTCTTGTCACCACGTTACAATATATACATACTCAAAGTAATATTCAAACTATACTCTCTAGGTACTCTTTATATACTCTATGTGTACTCAATAAGTACTCAAATATGTATTCAATATATGTATACTTAAAATAGCACTAAAAATATGCCAGACACGTATTTAAATTATATTTAACATGTACTCAAAAACAGTAGTCAAAATATACTCTATGAGCATTCAAAACATGTTAAATGTGCGCTCAATGAATACTCAAAATGGTATATTACACTCAACATATACTTGGAATAATCATAGTTTTGTTTTAAATAATTAACGTTTCATAATAATAATTTCATTTATTATAAATACTATAAATCAAAATTAGAATAATTGTGAGTACATTTTGAGTACAGTATACTATTTTGAGAACATACAGTACTATTTTAAATATACATATAGGTATTTGAATACGTATATTTTCATCACTATAAATACTATGAATATAAATTTACATTTATTAATACTATAAATTATATTTACTTATTATTGTAAAACATTTAACCATAGTATTTCCTGTTGATTGTCAGATTCATTCTTTTCATTCTTCTTTATTAGGTTTAAATTTTATTCAGCATTAAACAAGTATTTGAAAACATTTTACATGTAAAATGATTTATGAAATTCATTTAACTCTTCGTCATAATATTATCTCTTACAGAGTCAGTGCAGCATCCCTTCGGGCCTGTTGAAATTACCAGACGTTTCAAACAAAATACCAACTAAGAATCTTATCGCCGGGCAATTTTCCCAACGAATAAGTCTCGTTACCGCTGTTGTTAATCCTTCGACGAGGGAGTTATCTAGTTCAAGGTAAATCTTCTTTTATACTATAAAAACTCCAGCAATTCACAGAGATCTGGTTTTTGATCTAATTCAGTGATTCCCAAAGTGGACGATACCTCTTATGCAAATAGGGGGGTGGGGCGGGAAGGGGGTAAATTTATCACTGTTTCTTCCTGTTTGTTCACTTAAAGAAGGTCATGTAAGTTTAGGAACCTCTGATTTAATTTATTCTTTTTATAACGAGGGACAAATTATTCTGTTGACTCACGATTAGTACTGTAATTAGCAGAAAGAGTATTTTAAAAATATTACAAGCAAATTATGACTTATTTTTAAATTCTAAAATTATTTATTTCTTATTCTAATCTTATATAGACAGTGTTGGAATGAAAAATAAATAATTTCAAAATTTATTATAGTACATTATTATTTGTGATCAAACTTAAATATTTCATCCTTCAACATGAATATGTTAAAAATGCGAAAGGATATAATTATGTAATCGTTGTACTATGGAATTGAATACAATAATAATTTGATCTTTTCTCTGGTTAAAGTCCGCCAAGAATACAAAGAGGCTATTCATGGAAATTATCACGGCCATCCCTAAGGAGGAAACGTTGGTCACAGACAGAAGACGAGGAGCCTGGCCGAACTACTGTTTTAAATAATGGTCGAAGCACTCTACTCGGTTCCAATTCAACGTAAGATAATTTCATACTTTTAAAATATATGTAAAATATTTTACATTAATCAATAATTATTTTCTAAAATTTCTGATGAATTTACAGTGTATTTTCGCCATGCGTTTTTACAGTATACATCTGTTTTGAAGTATCCTGTATAAGGATTAAATGTTATTTCATCTTTATTTAATATAAATAATTTTAAATACAAATTTGAGTTATACGTTTTTCAATGAAAAAATAATCTATAATCTATTATTTATATTACTTCCTTATTATAATATAACATTTTATTTTTGTCATTTCAAATTATGTAAATTTGATTTTCAGTTTCAACGGTGGTTACTTGCACGGTTCGATAAGAAACGACACGCAGAGTGACACGCCGAATAATAGAACGACCGTCCTAACAAGCAATACTCGTAGCCTCAGCCCCAATAATTCCATTGAAAGTCGTAGCTCTTCTATACGACATTATACAACAACGCCTAATCAGGTGGGTAAATCAAATTTTAAATCTTACCTACAATTAAAGCACAGTACAAAATACAAAATCACCCATCATAAGGAACTACTTTTAACATATCTATCATATGTAAATAAAATAAATAAATAATATCACCTTATAATTTGACAGTAACTAAGAATTAAAAGGTGTAAGTTTTACTTTTAATTTTCTCTTAATTGAGCTACACATAACTTTTATTATTACAGTTGAATTGTTGGTCAATTTGAAATAACCAAAAGTATGATTTTTTATGTAAGTTCACAAATTTAAATATAATTTATTCAAAAATTTGGAATAATACAGTAAAATGTGTACTCTACGTATCCAGCACAAGTGAGAAAACAGCAATAGATATACAGTAAAAGCTGGATATATGCAACAAACATTGGGACCCAGACGTTGCATATATCCAGTCGAGGTGTCGAATCTCGGGTTACACGCGACGAGCAGCCAAGCGTGAACGTAGAAAAGGACAGACAGTGGCGGAAAGAGAGAGGTCCGATGATCAAAGGAAAGAGCCGAAACGTATCGGTGTGACTAATACTAATTGAATCAAAAAACTTTTTTATTTTTGACTTTTTTTAAATGAAACTTGTACTAGCGCATTGGTGAGCTTTTTGTGATTAAAGTGGTACCAAACACGATATAGTTTGAATTATAATTACTTGCTAAAATTGATGTTAAAAGTTGGCGAAAAGCAAAGGACGATTGGAAATGAAAATCGGTTGCGGTGTCGGCTCGGGTTTCAAACGTTGCATATATCCAGCCGAGGTGTCGATTCTGGGCATTTAATGTTGCATATATCCAGTCTTGGTATCGATTCTGTGTCCGTACAAATCGTTTGTACCGTGCCGCGTTACCTATTGTACGTTCGTACAAATCGTTTGTACCGTGCCGCGACACCTATTCTACGTTCGTACACAACATGCAACGTGTTGCATGTTGCATGTTGCGTGTTTGATGTATCTTTGGTGTATGGCCTGCCTTGTACATATGTACAGTTTTATTATTATTTTAATAAATAAATATAATTCAAATTATATCGTGTTTGGTACCATTTTAATCAGAAAAATCTCACAAATGCGTTAGTAAAAATTTCATTAAGAAAAAGTTAAAAATAAAAAAGTTTTATCGTTCAATTAGTATTAGTCACACCGATATTACGGTCGGATCATATTACACGGTTTCCTCGCCGAGCGGCTCGGTTCGGCTTAGGGGGATCCCCCCAAGTGGAGGGGATAGCGATGTTGCATATATCCAGCTTTTACTGTATTACCAGCAATTTATGAAAATCAGGCAGAGTATGTAGAATGCTTAGGCAATGTATGTATAGAATTCCTGGCGTTTTGGGCATAGTATGAAATATCCGAATTATTTTAATATTATATAAATTTTTCCTAGGCGTTGTAAGGATTTTATAAAATAATTATTCTAAAAATTAGTAAAATCGAAAAAGTATCCTCAAAGGTCTGTAATTAAAAATTTCAGTTTAGGGAAAAATTAATATTGTTTATATCAGGATTTAATTCGATATTGCCATTCTATACAATGCCTGCTTTTCATACATTATCGGTAACAAATATAGTAAAAGGAATAGAAAAAAATGAAAAAACAAAAGTTGGCATATGCTCTACCCGGCCTTGATTCTTGAACCGATGATGTAACGTTCAAACGTCCTGGCAAACAGCTCTCCTGTAGAACAGAAAAACAGAATAAGAATGCTACCCCAGAACCTTTTGTCTGCCATAGGCCTCCTTCATATCGTTGAATACCAACAGTTTTGGTATATTGAATCTAATTTTGCCGGTTAATATATGTTACAGATGCGATGGATTAGCGACCTTTCACGAAGAAATTCACTACGTGGAAACGAGAACGTCCAGTCGCCAACAAGGAAAACCCTACCTCTGGACGAGGCGCCTATGCAATGCTCAACAGCACGTACAATCAATAATTTGTCGATGGAGACTGGCCCACTGCCCAGAATTAAACGACTTTCCGATCAAGATGATGACAATCCTCGTATCGACGAACAGACACCCCCTTTGAATGGTCATGGAAGCGCTAGCAGTATTGAAAAGATTAAGAAGATCTTCATGTTTTTTGAACCTAAAGGTTGCCTTAAGGAACGCGATGATTATTCGCTGTATCTCTTTCCACCAAATAACAGGTAGGTGTAATATTGATTAATCTTTACTCATTACTGGCCTAAGAAAGTTTGTGCAGTTACGATATGCAATGAATATGCAGATTATAGCGCAATCCCCACATCCTTGACACCAGTTTCCCTAAGTACCTGCCATCGATGATGATATACAACCATTGATTCAACAAAATAGAGAAATCGAAATTTTCTGTTTTCCACATTAGAGTGATGAGAATGCCATAACCGAGCTATTAAGATTAATCCAATGAAAATTTTACCCAACACTACTATATTTGTATAATTTTTAATTAAACGTGTGTCTCATTTGCTTTGGCTGCATTTCATTATAGTGATTATAGTATAATCACAGAATAATATTTTTGCAATAAAGTAATCACTTAATTAATGTTAATCATTATTTGCATTTTTCAGATTTCGTGTACTGTGCCGATGGTTCGTCGACCAGAGATGGTTTGATAACGTGGTTCTTTTTTTCATCGGTCTTAATTGTATTACCTTGGCAATGGAACGGCCAAACATACCACCTGATAGTGGAGAAAGACTTTTTCTAGCAACTGCGAACTACATTTTTACCGGCGTATTTGCTATTGAGATGTTCATCAAGGTTAATCATTTTATGATCTGATGTTTTTCATTTCAGGATTTAGAAGTATTGTTTATTAAAATTATGGTAATTTTATTATAGGTTGTTGCATCTGGTATGTTTTATGGTTCCGACGCTTATTTTACTTCAGGTTGGAACATTATGGACGGAGTTCTTGTGATTATTTCCATAATCGACTTATCAATGTCCCTACTTTCATCGAGTAGCCCAAGAATATTTGGAATACTGAGGGTATGTTTGTCTATATTTTCTTTTCTATCTTCTTTGATATTTTTCCATGATAAATTTTATACAAAAATTTGGATATAAAATTAAAAATATGTTCTAAGATATTTCGAAAAATTATTTTTTCAAAAATTAAATGCATTTAAAATAATTTAAAATTTTCAGAAGGCAATTAATTATTATTTCAATCTTGTAGAAAATAATTTTTATCAATTACTTTTATGTGTAATTTATTTTATTACTTTTATTAAAATCAGCATAAGAACGGAAAATTATTAGAATCATTATTTGACAAATTTATATTTTGAGAAGACCGCCTAGAATTATTTTTAAAGTTCTACCACTGCGCCATCTATACAAAAGCGGCGGAAACTATTCAACAAATTACTGACTTATCAACTGAACTTCCGACAGTCGGAAATCGACCCTTCGGTAGTCGGTAAGTTAACGAATAGTTTGCACTGCTTTAATATAGATGGCGCAATACCGATGGCTTGGGGTGTCAGAGACCCCGAAGGACCGACGACACACTGCATATCGACATTATGGCATTCGGGGTATTAGGGACCCCAAAGCTAAAATGTGCGACCCGTAGACTTTCTATACATAGAATGGCAAGAAACAAGAATTCGAATATAAAAAAAATTACAATTTGTTAAATTTTAGTATATAATTTTGTAAGAGGAGAAAATATATAGAATGCAAATTCAATTGTCAATTAATTGGAATAGACCTTGCATTCATTAAAAATTATAATTTGTTAAATTTTAATGTATATTTTTGTAAGAAAAGACAGTGTATAGATCGCAAATTTAATTGCCAATTTGATAATTAAACATTGCAAGAAACTGGATTTCAAAAAAATTGTTATAATTACTTAACTTCAATGTATGATCTTTGTTTCAGGTTTTTAGACTTTTAAGATCATTGCGACCATTGCGGGTTATTAATCGAGCCCCTGGTTTGAAACTGGTCGTTCAGACATTGTTGTCTTCTTTACGACCTATCGGCAACATCGTTTTGATATGCTGTACTTTTTTCGTAATCTTTGGTATCTTGGGCGTGCAGCTCTTCAAGGGTGCCTTTTATTATTGCGAAGGGCCTGATATTAAAAACGTACGCAATAAAACGGACTGCCTGGCTGACAAACGAAACGTTTGGTTAAATAGAAAGTATAATTTCGATGATCTCGGGAAAGCTTTGATGTCGTTATTCGTGTTGTCTTCGAGAGATGGATGGGTGAACATTATGTATACTGGACTTGATGCTGTTGGCGTCGATCAACAGGTAACAAAACAAAATACACCCTTTAACATTCAAACACCACACCATTGATTTTACGAATTCTTCAAATTTCGTTGCCTCTCTGCTGGGGGTAGATTTACCCAAGTAGGCCTGAAAGTATTAATTCTATTCAATTTTCTCTTACTCCAGTTTCCATGAAATTCATGATAAACAGTATAAAAAATAGTGTGATAAATCCTACATTTAAAAAGTTCGATATCATTATTTTTGCATCGAATATTTTGTTTTAAATACTATGCAAAGTGTTCCAAAACGGACAATACAATTTGAAAATTAGTAATTCTACATGAAAATGTATCTAATTGTAAGTTAAATTAAGAAGTAAAGGAGATGGCTGTCCCCAATACGTTAGTTGACCTCCATGGTCCCGGCAAATTTTTACCCCATGAAATCCATAGAATAGGCCGCCAAGATGATCTGTACCAAGTTTTATCCAAATCGATTAATGGGAACATGGTCAAAATGGCGGCCAAAGTTGACCCTTTTAACATGGGGCTTTATGGGGGTGGTCGAAATCGTGCTTTCGGCATCCTAGTTTCCGGATATGTTAAACTAGACGATAATACCTTTCAAATGAGCCCATGAGCACCAATATCGTCAAACGGGAACTTGGTCAAAACCCATTGTGAAAAAATGAAGAAAATCTTCAAAGTCGATTTCTGACCAAACTACTCAACGAATTTTGACCAAGTTCCCGTTTGACGATTTTGATGCTCATTTGAAAGATATTATCGTCTAGTTTAACATATCTGGAAACTAGAATGCCGAAAGCAAGATTTCAACCACTCCCCATAAAGCCCCATGTTAAAAGGGTCAACTTTGGCCGCCATTTTGACCATGTTTCCATTAATCGATTTGGATAAAACTTGGTACAGCTCATCTTGGCGGCCTATTCTATGGATTCCATGGAGTAAAAATTTGCCGGGACCATGGGGGTCAACTAACGTATTGGGGATAGCCATCTCCTTTGTTTACAAATAAATATGTTGTTGTAAAAGAAAACATTGAAAAATTCATTTTATTATTATGAACGTAAACAAATTAAAAATATCTAATGATTGTAATTATTTGTTTTTTTTCATTATTTATAAAAAAAGGAAGTTATTTCATAATTCGTCACCCTGTAGACTTCTAACATATCATTTTTAAATAATTTTGTTCCTGTTTTTAGCTAAAATATTTCTTCTTTTTGTTACAGCCAATCGAGAATTACTCTGAATGGCGGCTGCTGTATTTTATAGCTTTTATCTTGTTGGTAGGTTTTTTTGTGCTTAATATGTTCGTGGGCGTTGTGGTGGAGAATTTTCATAGGTGTCGTGAAGAGCAAGAGAAAGAGGAACGGGTAAGAAGAGCTGCTAAACGGGCCCTACAGATGGAAAAGAAACGACGAAGTATGAAACATTAATACAAATTTTAAAAAATTTCAATTACAAACAAATTAAAATCAAAATTTTTATTTTACAGAAATGCATGAACCGCCATATTACACGAATTACTCGAAATCCAGACTGTTCGTTCACAACGTTGTAACATCCAAGTATTTCGACCTAGCAATTGCTGCAGTAATCGGCCTGAACGTTGTCACAATGGCGATGGAATTTTACATGATGCCAAAGGCTTTGACTTACGCTCTAAAAATATTCAATTATTTCTTCACGGCAGTCTTCATTCTCGAATCATTCATGAAACTCCTCGCATTGGGTTTGCACCTTTACCTCAAAGACAAGTATGAGTTTTTAATTATTTTTTAACCTGTTATACAAAATGTTTATAAATTTTCATTTATTTTTGTTCTTTACCATTTTTTAATCTGAGTTTTTGTTTCCGAGATATAAGCAGTTGAAAATTAGGTGTTCAGCTTTCCGAGCGCCATGTTTAAACAGCTGATCATAGCGGCGCCATTAAACATGGCGTCCTGATAATCAAAACTCTAATTTTCAATCGTTAATATCTCAAAAACTAAGCTACAAATTGCGAAATACTGCAGAACTTTTCGATTTCTTTTGACATAAAGAATTGAAATTTTTTCATAGTGTCATTTTATTTTAGATATTTTGTATAATGATTTCTATTTTTAATACTTTGTTTTAGATGGAATCAGTTGGATGTAGGAATCGTGATACTGTCGGTAGTTGGTATCGTTCTCGAAGAAGTTGAGTCGAAAATCATCCCGATCAATCCTACTATAATTCGGGTGATGCGAGTTCTACGAATTGCTAGAGGTAAATACGAAAGAACCAGAAATTAAAGAGATTAATCATCAAGTGGTAAATGCCGCTTGGGTCAATTATGACCCAACCCAATAAATTTTTCGGTTAAAATTAGTCATTTAGATTTTTTTGTGAAAGACTTTTATATGTATAGATGTCCTAACCATCCCCCCTCCCCCCCTCCCCACAGATACACAAATGTACAATGGCCCCCTCACTATTCTCAAATTCTAAGGTTTTAAAATTCAAAAATTCCTACCTTCCTAAATTGTAAATTACCATATTTCCAAAATTCAAAAATCCAAAATTCCTAAATTCTTAAATTGTAAAATTGCAAAATTCGACAATTCGAAAATCCCAAAATATAAAATTTTCAACATTTTTAAATTCTACAGACCTACAATCCTATAAGTCTTTAAAATCCTCTCGCAAAATATTATCTTAGATATTTGAAATAATAACAAGCACCCTTTTTTATACAGTTTTAAAATTGCTGAAGATGGCAAAAGGAATACGAGCCCTTTTAGATACGGTAATGCAGGCGTTACCGCAGGTTGGGAACTTAGGTCTTCTATTTTTTCTGCTATTCTTCATATTTGCTGCTCTTGGTGTGGAACTTTTTGGTCGTTTGGGTAAATAATTCAAAATACTAATCTTTATTAATGAATATTGAAAAAATATAGTATATAAATATTTCTGCTGGTGTTAATTATTGTATTCTAGAATGTAACGACGAAATGCCCTGTCAAGGGCTCGGCGAGCACGCCCACTTCAGTAATTTTGGGATGGCATTTTTAACACTTTTTCGAGTAGCTACTGGTGATAATTGGAATGGGATTATGAAAGACACGTTAAGGGACGACTGCGACGAAGCAGCAGACTGCGTGAAAAATTGCTGCGTCAGCACTATCATAGCCCCTATATTTTTCGTAATTTTTGTGCTTATGGCACAGTTCGTTCTTGTAAACGTCGTCGTTGCTGTGCTTATGAAGCATCTCGAAGAAAGTCATAAACAGGTAATACATAATCACACATATACATATCTCATTCAACATACACATAGAATATCACCATGAAATTCCAGGATTATTCAATTTTATACAAAATTATTTTAAACAAAACTTTAAATGTTTTTAGTGTCTCTTTTATCTTTTAAGACACATCGAATTTTTTTAAATGAAATTAAATTTTCTTTAAAATAATTATTTAATAAATCATAAGTAAATAATGAAAAATTGGATAATTGGATAATTGAAAATTGAAATTGAATAATGAAAATCATTAGTAAATAATGCAAAAGAGAAGAAGTGTTCCACCATTTGCCTTATTTGTCCATGTACATGTTATTAAGGTCAAAAGATTTCATATCAGGCTTGCACTGTAAATAATGAAATGGGTACCCAAAATTGCCCGCGAGCACAATTGCGGGCACAGACGTATCAGTAGTTTAAGAGTCAGCAGGCAGGCAAGCATGGGAGAACCCGCAGGCACCGAAGCGCTCTTAGGGCAATTTCATATGCATGCCTACTCTAAATTCTTCCTGGGTTCTCCCAAGGCAAGGCAAATGGCGGGCTTCTACTCTTTTCCTTTTAATCGAGAAAACCCTACACTGGATCCGCGTGTAAGTAGCTATACCTAGTCACTGAATAAAAATTTGAAACTGATTTGTTAGATGGAAGATGAGCTTGACATGGAAACGCAACTGGAAAGAGAATTAGCAGCAGAACAAGAAGAATTATTGGAAGTCGAAGAAGAAGAGGAAGAGGATGAAATTGTGAAACGAGACAGGACAGGGGATGATGGTGTAGATGACGATGATGATGCAAGAGAACGCGATTCCATTTTAGTACCAAATGTAAAGATTTCTGCGAGCAGACCTGGTCTTGCTAAAGTTCGTTCCTTACCTGCGAATTTTATTTATAATCCACCAAGAAAAGCGAGCGCAGATGGTACGTTTACTTCATCTATCTTTTTTTAGACAATATGTAAAATACTTATTTTCGATGATGAACTATTTATAAGAATTATTATTAAAAAATTGCAGATGGAACAATATCTGCGTCACTATCACGTCGCAGTTCGTATCATCGTTCCAGTTCAAGACCGTCCAAGTTCAAATCAAAACGTCGACAAACGTTTCATTCGGGGCATCATCAACAGAGGTCCCTACTGCCGATGCACTTTGAGGTTGTCGAAGTTTTCGAGAAGTCTATGAGCAATCTAAGCGTGCCTCGAATTATTTCTCAACGGAATTATGATGCAGCGAGTCGAGACATCAATCACGCGCAACGTAAAAGGTTACAGGTAAGTTAAAGATAAGAATTGCAGGGAAAGTGAGACGGGGCTAGTGGTTGGACGAGTACGACTGATTGGACAGGCTCTGTTGTTAGACGATTTCCTTGCGTCTGATTGGTCAAAAGCGTCTAGTTACTAGGACTGTTTTTTATGTATCCTACCACTAAGCCCCTTACCTGATGTATTAGGTATCAGCAATATAACTTTCTTAATTTTACTTAAAATAAGATCAAACACGATATCATTTGAATCACATTTACTTATTTTATGTACAAAGGAACATCCCCAATGCGAATTTCTGTTTTCATCCATATAGTTCAAATTATGTCATGTTTGGTCTCCTTTTAATTAGAAAAATTGTACCAATATGTTAACAAAACTTGCATACAGAAAAATCTAAAAATAAGAAAGTTAAATTGTTATTTTTGTTATAACATTATGCATTTATATTAATACACCGATAAGCTGGCATTTAAATTTCTAAATGGTTTACTACTTGTCGCCAGCGACTAAAAGCAATCGCAAAGCTCCAGCAATAGTGTCTCTATCCATATTGCCCACTTTCGCTTACTAGCTTAGGAATAGTGTCAGAAGATTAACTGTAATTCGACTGAACGCTTTTCTCTTACCCTTGCCTTTTCAAGAATGATGATCAGTAATTGAATATTGCTAACATGCTTATTTTAAAAATTTACTACCTGTTAGTTATCGCTACATCACTCAACAGGAGTGACGACCCAAGTCCATATTGATCATGAGGGCCTCTTGCGGAGAAACCAAGAAATTCTGGACGTTTTTGTCTCTCCTGCATGAAAAGACAAGGACGGCAATTACTTTCCAGTGTTTCACTGCTTCTTCGCTAGAGGTGCTACTGTCACTCTTGAACTACCGACGTTTGATCCACACTTATTTTTAAGTTGAAAATAATGTTGAAACTTAAATAGATAAATGATAAAACATAATTTACCATGCACATCCATTCTTTATCTCGACAATAGTCAACATATATTTCAACAAAAATACCTCAATAAAATTTATAATTCAAAATAAGAAACTCAAAACCAGTCATTTTGACTGGTTTGATAATTCTAATGTTAAACCTGAACAATACTTGTTTTTATCCATAGGCAACCAGCGACGTGCTTGAGAACAAATCACTACTGAGCGTGAAGAAGCCACCAGCGAGTTCTTCCCCGGTAACACCGGCTGGTTCGGTGACCACCCTGACCTGTCCGAAACTGAGCAGCGAACGTTATCTTTTACCAACGGCTAATATTTACCCGTCCAAGGCAACGTTAAACCGCCGGGCATTCAGCGACACGCAATCGCAGTCCGACACGAATGTCAGCACTGTTAGCAACATTGGAAGCAACGTATCGAGAACCCCGAGCGTGGTAAACAGTTACGCTGAGAGCGAAGCATCGAAGAACGGCACGAAATCAGAGGAAGTAAGAGCGAAGAACGAGCGACGTGTATCCGCGCCACCAATGGACGATCTCGACGTGCAATCCATTATTAACGAAAGGAGACCGTCCAAGCTGAAGAGCGGAAGTCCGACGGGTGATCAGTACGGTTCGTCGATTCAAGTGGGAAGTTACGGACACGTTTTAGTGGCTGAAGAAAAGTCCGAGGAGATGTCGCCCGTGTCGGCCAGCATCATGAGCGACAGCATGATCAGAAGCACGAGTTTAAGCGCGAATGGAAGTGGTAACGGCAGCGGTAGCGCCGTGGTACACATACCGGAGGCAATCTGCGCCACGGTTGACTCGGACGTTAGGATATACGTGGACGATACCGATTCCACGAGCAGCAACGGGCATCGTAAAAAGAGGCTAAACGAGGAAACAACGGATGCGTCGACAACAATTTCCTCGGTGACTGCGGTACCAGAAGAAACCGACGAGATGAAAGAAACTGAAGAGAGGTCCGAGAGGGCATCCTCTGCTGGCCCCTCGGATCCTTCTTAATCCAGAAGCAATCGAAGCTTCAACATATAAGTATCTGTTACGTTTAACACGGTTCACCAACAAAAGTATTGATTTCCGTGAAAAATTGCTAGCCAATGCCATGGTATCCACGACGATGTACCATGGGGTGTGCTGCTACGAGGGTTCAATATTGGGCTCTAAGAAAGACTGTAGTGCATGACAATATAGTCGTTATATTCTAGTCACTTTGCCGCTGTGAACTTGCCAAAAAGGAAAAGAAGGAAAACGTCGAGCATTTACAGCAAGTCGAGAATAAAATGGCTAGGAAGTATAGGGAGGAAAAAAAGTATCTCAGATGATGGTGTGAGCTCTGGTGAGCTAGAAAGCAGAGTAATAATTAACAAATAATTTAATATCCAATCGTGAACAGCTTGATGCTGTTCCATACAGCGCGTATAAAAGTATAACGCACTTAAGGACAAAAAGAGATTTAAAAAAAAAAACAAAAAAAAAAGAAAAACCTATGACAATCTATTATTGCCAGCGGAAACGATCTTACGTTCCGTTTAAAAAGCGTCGTGGAAGTCGATTCGTAGGAATTGGTAGGACGGAAGAACGACGTAGTCTGCGTCGATAATTAGGGAATTTAGTAGGTCTTAGATAAAAATTTTGTCGAGTCTATGCGACAACTGCAATCAATCGGACCACACTTTCTCGCCTTTCCTTTTTCTCCAGCTCGTCAATATTATACATTATTATAACCGCGTGTCGTTCGCAGGAAAGTTTCGAGAGCCGCGGTGGCTCGTGGTAGCTCTCGACGGAGGAACGAAAGGTGCCAAACGATGCGAAAAAAAAAAAAAAAAACAAACAAATGGTTAATTACCGAAGTGCCAGAAAATCTAGATAAAACTTTCGGAATAAAAAGTAGCTGTAGTCTTCGCGATCGCAGGGATGTTTAAACTGCGGAACAAAAAAAAAAATAAATAAACAGGTCGTTAACATTAGACGTAAGAGCTTTGTATTTAAAATTTCTCTTAGAACCGACATGTGGTTCAAAGGAATGGAGAAAGATCGAACGTATATTGTTACGATTGGGCTAAAAGTAATAAAATAGCCAGTTCATAGACTAGTCGATTACAATATGGTATTTTTGTCACCTCTTTCGCCAATTCTATGACTCTAGCTCGGAGCTTGAAGTAAATACGATTAGGATCTTAAGACTAATCCGACGTTGTGATAATCTTTAATACAAATTGAAACTCGTACAATCTTATCTCTATGTCAATTGGTTTCACTCGACTCGAGTTCTCCTGGAAAGCTATGTCGAACCAGCTGCTGTGTACATCCGAATGATCCTGCGGCGACGAACGATTCTTAACATTCTTATCCTTCTCGTTTCCATTTCCTCGTTTCTCTCTATCCCTTTCTCTCTCTCTCTATCTCTATCTCGCGCGCGCGTTCTAGAACGTTCTTCTCGTTAACATCTGTGATATACTTTAATCGTAGTATATTTCCTATAAAACGGCAACAACAACAGCAAACATCTTAAGGAAACAGCGACGACAAGCAACAGTAAAAGAAACAAGAGAAATAAAAATAACAATTAGGAACAAAAAAAAAATATGAGGTAGTAGCTGACTTTTTAATAAAATGAAGACATGTGCGAGGCTCTGAGTATAGTGAAAAGCAACAAAAAAAAAAAACAACAAATATATACACGTATATACATAATAAATAGAAAACTCTACTGTACATACATACACTTATGAATATTCTATACTATACACTCGGTGTGGTTTATTTTGATACTACCGCGTGCGGTAATATTTAATGATTGTCGAGGATAAATTCAACATACTGAAATGAAGAAATGTTAAAATGTTAACGATTCTATGCCTTCTGACGTTGACGAACGTTGACGAACTCTTCGTGCGGTAGTGGTGCCCGCGCTTCGGGTATATGTACAGTTGTGCCAAGCGAGAGTGAGTTTTGAAATGCGCATGCCTGGCAGTTAGGTGTGGGCACAAATGGAGGACCTTCTCCCACTACTACTCAGTTTTTGTTCAAATGTTTCACCAAACTGTTTCAGAGCCATTTTGGACTAGCCACGTTTTGTGTTGTGATACACAGGGCCGGTTTTAGCAGTATTGGCGCCCCGGGCAAGATTATAGTGGCCCCCATTCAAGGGCTAAAAAACGATATAGGCATAAATGTCGCAGCATATATAGCATATATGTAATATTACATATGAGTTGTAGATAGAGAGAAGAGACAATGAGAAAATATCGGTATATTCGCATACTAGGGACACCGGGCTGCGGCGCCCCCTGGACGATTGCCCGACCGCGTGCTTCCCTAACGCCGGCCCTGGTGATACATGTATAGTGCACCGATGACAAGATGTCCCATGAGACAAATGCAAATGCGGCCTTCTCATGGGACATCTTGTCATCGGTGCACAGTACTATGGTAGTCTGTTTAGTCACCTCACAGGTGTACCTCTCGGCTAGTTTGAAATGGACTGTAGACTTGGTAGCGTGTTTTTAGCTGTTAATGGCTGTATTGCTACTACCTGCTCCTTGTATCAACACCGCAAGGCTCCGCCTTCAGTCTTCACTTTCGCTTGAGACTATATTTCCAAATCCTACCACGTGTTACTACTTAGCAAAAGAGAATGAATCTTCAGGGATAACTGTTTAGTTTAAGTAAATGAGCATGGATGATATTTCTTTCTGTAAGGGCAAATGCCCGCCATTACTCGGCAGTTAATGGTGGGAGATTATGCTTCCTACTTTTGCATTTAACATTTTGACGGTCACATATTGTGTGGAATCCATGGTATTTGCAATTTTATGGTCTTTGTTGTACCCAATAGGATATTATTAATAGAATTGCGTTTGAAAGTTTCATTTAACCTACACACTGTAAAATTACCAATTTTTGTATTGTAGTTAATATCTAATAGAGTAAAAAACAGGAAAGGAAAGTATATTAGTGTGAAAAATTAAGCATCATAATGAATACCTGACAACGACCATCCAAGTGTTAAGCAGCAGAAATGAAAGAGATAAATAGTGAGAGGTTATATTACTGAAGGAAAGCATCCATACTCGGAGGTGTACAGTATTGTCTTTCATTATGTTGCTCGCTTAGATCTGTATATATTGCGACAGAGCAAGGGCTTATACCGAAATTGAAGATATTGGTATAATATCGGTATTTTTCGGTTGCACTTACAAAACCCATTTAGAAACCAAAATACCGAAATACCGATATATTTACCGGTAATTTTTCCGGTTTTCCTATTTAAAAAAACTATCAACACTTTTTCCAAACAAGAACTTAAAACCAATGAATTCTGTATGTGTTGTCATTATGTTAATTACATTAGCATAGTCACATCAAAACCGATATATACATATATAATACCGAATTAAAAATAATAATCAGCATTTTTCCTGTTTTCATATATTTCTGGTTTAATTGGAGGTAATTTATACAATACTTAAAAATTGCGAGAAAAAATGATATTGTGGTCATCATTGTAAATCTACAATGTCACCAAAGAAAAAACGAAAAAATACCGGTATTTATTTCGGTTTCGGTACTTCAATGTTTTCGATTTTCATCTATTTCATTTTAAAATTAAAAATTTTTTAATAAAATCTAAAAAATTTTAAAATTAAATGCAACAAAGTGAGAGACTACTATCCATTTTTGTTCTGGTTCTGATAAATCATTTGGGTTTAACAATCACATTATTTTAAGATATTGCTCTAATTCTCATCCCTGATTTGGGTAACCAACGTTCCAACATCCTAAAAGTGAGAATGAAATGAGAAATGATCTTGGAAAGGTTTAATTTATTCTTCGTACTCACGTAGCTTCACAGATAGTCACGTAATGAAATTAAACGATCGATAACACACAGGATGAATTATTTAATTATTTAAGTAACAGGAGTGACGGCCCAAGTCTGAATTGATCTTAGGGGCCTTATGCGTAGAAAGCAAGAAACTTTGGACGATCCTTGCGAATTCCTTTTCTGTATTTTATTACTACTCCACGAGAGGCGCTACTGTCGCCCCTGCGGACCCTTAACGTGTTCGAGCCCAAAGTAACAAGTGCAGTTTGGACAAAATTAGACAAAATCGTAAATTAAATCATTAAGAAGCAGCATAATTAATGTCGTGATTCTTAAGAACACATGTTGCTCCTAAGCATCGCTACTTCAATTGGTGTCGATGTTGTTTGGCGATTATATTTAGTATATTTCTACGCCTGAACTGTTTTATGTCTCTTTAATCATCGTCTGGTATGAGTAGATCTACTCAAACGGACTCGAACATGTTTATTACTTCCTAATTATTTTAATGAACAAAATAGATAGTAACTGAAAGATTGATTCCTACTTTTCGTTTAATCAGTGCATAAAGTCACTTAGCTGTATTGGTTGTTGAAACTTCGTTCGAAAGATCTAACTAATCTTGTACGCACAATCATGCCTAGTCTATTTACAATGAAAATTAGAAATTCATGTTTAATCAACTAGATTGTTGTTATCAATTAAAACGATTAAACGGAATATTCTGCTAAATCCATGAGGATGATTTAGGAACGCGCGTCTCTTTGGCACCACGACCGAGTCTCGATAGCTCGATAGCGTTAGACGACTGACCTCCGAATTATAATTTACTCTAGCCACGGGGATATGATCGTGTAACCGCGCGCGAAATCTCGCCGATCAGATGCACGTGTATTGTTAGTAAGAATACAGGAAAAACAAAAAATATAATATATATATATAAATATATAAAAAAAAAAAAAAAGATTAAGAGATTCTACTATGTATGTGCGCCTCATAGCGGTGGAAGTATTTCTATCCGCGACGAAAATTTAATGAAATGAAAAAAAAGATATGTAAAAAGAAAAAGAGAAAAAAATACATAGAGAAACATAGAATGAAAAATAATACACGCGTCATACTTATGTGTGTGTATACATCGTATATAAATGTACACGTACATATGTGTATATATACATATGCATGCACACATGTACGTATATATAGTCACGTGAATATAAGTACAAGAATTGTGCACGCGCACGTGATCAGTTAATCGAACCTGTTAATTCAATGTACTTGTTGCCGCGTGCCTCTTCAGTCCGTTCTTCGCCCTTAGAAAAGGCAGTTCGTAACAGAAGAAAATAGTCAAGGGAAACAAAGTATAAAAAAAAAATGGAGGGAAAACATTTTAATTACAGCAGTGACGTACCAGGCATGGTTCATATGATCGTGAGAAGTGTCCGTTTTGTCTGTCTGATGCTGTGTACATGTGTGTATTCTGTGTTCGGAAAAGTCTAGTTAAAATCGTATGGATTTGAAGTGAATTCGAGAAACCATAGCGAAAAAGAGTGAGGAAAGAAAAGCAGGGTGCATGGGATGGAAAGGAAGAAGGGAGAAGGAAAACGAATGAATGATTATGTATGTAAGTGTGTGAGAATGAAGGAGCACGATGATAGAAACGTAGAACAAGACTAAATATGTACAAATGTAATAAACTGAACGACGATCACGTTGAATTGACGTAACAATCTTTAATTTAAACACTAACCCATATCCCATCTCATAGATCACTATGACGACATAGGACAATTCCTTAAAGGCTGTTTAGATTAGGTAACTTCCAAGGGGGATAGCCTAGTATTCAGGAGCGAGGAAGAGGGAAATAGTATTCCAGGCAGACTACTAGTACGGATCTATGTATTTAGATTAGGTAAATAACTTGTAATGGGGGCCCTATTTAAATTTGGTAAGCAATTTGTAAAGGGGGTCCTATTTAGATTAGGTAAGAATCTTGCAAGGGGGATAGCCTAGTACTCAAGAGCGAGGAAGAGGGAAATAGTGTTCCAAGCAGACTACTAGTACGGGTCTATGTATTTAGATTAGGTAAATAACTTGCAATGGGGGGACCTATTTAAATTTGGTAAGCAATTTGTAAGGGGGGTCCTATTCAGATTAGGTAAGAAACTTGCAAGGGGGATAGCCTAGTACTCAGGAGTGAGGAAAGGGGAAATAGCCTGCCTTCCTGACAGGCTGGCTACTGGTGCGGACCTATTTAAGTTAAGGGGGGCCTTTTTAAATTAAGTAAGTAATTTGCAAATAACTTAATAGGTTCGTATACTGATATGTTGAACACCGAAACAGCCACCTCCTCCCCCCGTCATACCTCCTTCCCACTCGCAAAGAACTCGCCCGAAGCAAGCACATATCTCCAGCTCTTAACAGTGCACGCATACAAATTTGGGCGCAGACAGACGCCCTTGCCCGTGTTACTATACTTGTTGAGCATGCTTGACCCAGGGACATAAATCGGAGGGGTCCCGGAGTCTTCGACAGAGGTCCCGGGGCCCTCCCTACAGCCCAGTGCAGGCCAGCGTGTGGGGTTTTAACGGGTAAAAATCTCGCACTACCCCTGGCCCCTCCCCAGGGGGGCTGGGGGTGTCTTTGGAAGATTTCTCCCACGTAAAAAAAAAGGGACATAAATCGACGAAAAAGATTACAGCTGCGAAGCCGCAGGGTTAAACAGTAGCTCATGAAACATCTTTGGGATGACAAACGTAGACCTGCTACCAAAGTCAACTATTCATCGACTTAAATCGAGTTAAATCAACTTTCCCTTTTTATAATAAACTTTTTAGTGTTTAACATAAATAATATAAAAAATAACATCATTATGGAAGATACCTGTCTTTATTTGCTACGTAATAAAGTATACATAATAGCTATATATAAAAGTCTTATTCAAATCGGTATTATATTATTAATTATGCTATGTCAACAGTGATCTTAGAATTATAATTCTCGTTTAGCCAGTTCGTTCGTTTGCAGAAGCCATTCCAGGATTTCTACTTTTAATTCGTAATTATTAAATAATTAATTAAAAAGAAATTATCTGTTCTTTTTACTTAAGGTACCATGGACCCGTATTCTATAGATACAGGTGTATTCATTATTACCACTATTCGAGTGAACTTTAAGTTCAATTATCTCATATGGTTTATCTGATCGATTCTGTAAATTGTAAACATCTGTATATTTCATTAAATTTATATTACGATGAAATTAGTGAATCATAGTTTACTTGAACTTCAAAGTATTGTACAGGGGGGCCAGTGTTATCGTATGTAAATTCGCCAAAAAGGAAAGGATTTGTGTCATCCACACATTTTAAACCCTGAAAAGAATATCAATATAATTATGAAATAAAAATAGTTTTTCGATGAAACCTACAGTTTCATTTACAGAAACAATTAATAAATACATTTTGGAATTTTGAAGTGAACTATTAACTTCTAAATAATAATCTATTAGAATATATTTAGTAGTTTTCAATTATGCTATAATATATTCTAAAATCACTTTAAAAGATCAGGTTGCATAAGAAATGAAAAATGTATTCAAATTTACCAGTATAGAAAAATCTTTTGGAGCTGTAGTCGTTTCTCCTGTTGGAGATATTGACTGTGGAATATGTTCCATACTGACTCCAGAAACATATACTAAACCAAGTAATTGTATAACAACACTGCCACTGCTACCTTTAAATGCCCAGCATTCACCCGGAAGAACACCAGTCTACATAAATATAGATTATAACCTACCACACCTTAGGGTAAAATAGTACAGTATCGGGCAAAGTACTTATGCTCTCCAAGGTAAACTTGCGAGCCCCTCCCCCCTCCCCACACCTACACACTAGGTTTTCCGAAGTTCCCAGACTCCCTCCCTTCTACGTAGGCGTTTCCGTAGAAAGTAACGATGCACTGTCTACCAATCACAAGAAGTCCTATAAGAATAACGCAATCTGATTGGTCGCACCCCACCTTAGCTTACACGTACTTACAGTCATGACGTGTGATTGGTCAAAACGGTCACATCTACTAATTAGGCTCGTGTGAAATAAAGGGGTCAGTCGATGTATACGTAGTATCCCCTCTTGTCCCTATGCCATCCCACGGAACTTCTTGTGATTGGTGGACAGTAAAGAGGAGTGGTCTCATATACACATATGTAGATCTATGGCCCCCACCACTTGCGTATAAAGATTTACGCGGGAACGTTTGAATTTATATTTATTCATTATTCATATTTCTCAATTATATACTAAATTTTATTGTATTTAACAATTTAAAACAATATTATTTAATGTTTTAAATCACTTTTAATATTAATATCGTCATAATCAAGATTTTGGGAATTTGTACTTCCACTGTAACGCCGTTTTCCTTAGGGAAGCCTACTTTGCTCGACACTGTACTACATATATGGAATGAAATATCGAATTAAAAAGGATACAAATGGAAATAAATAGTAGGATATTCATTCATACAAATGTTGTAATTAAAGTGGAGTATACATGTGAAAATAATTAATATTAGAAATAAGTTTCAGTAACCTGAATGACAGCCTGAGGTGTGTTCTGTTGTTGACAAATAGGTATTCCAAAGAGTTTCAGTACTGGTGCACCAGCTGAATATGTTTCTGTATTTCTTGTTGAAAGAATTGTGCCACCTGTGTATTTCAAAACAAGAATATTCAAAACTAACTATCAAAGGAAAATATTTTTTATCCATTTAAAACCTGAACTTCCAAGTGCATAATCAGTTCTTCCAGTTTTATCAGCATCGTAAGTTTGCAATTCACTCCTCACCAAATCTCTAACAGTGTCTGGAGACATAGCCTTCATTCCTATTTAAGATATAATTAACTATTACTGTAAAGATTCGATGAAAGCGAAAAAGATCTGTACGATGAAAGCGAAGAACACATCCCCACCACTGGGGGGTATACCCCTTCAGATGCCGCGAATTTTGCTTGCCGAGTAGTGTAACATGATCTGGGATCGGATATATCAGTAAGGTAATACTAATGCAATTGAACTTTGTTATTTTTCATTTTTTCTTATAAAACTTCCAGTTGGGTAATTATGATATTTTTTTGATTAAAATGATACCAAATACGATATAAGTTTGACTATATTTACTTGTTATATTGACGATAATATGTTTCGGACACGGGGCAGGATAGCAAATGAAAATGAAAATTTTTTACGTTCGAAGCGATCGGCAAACTTCTAATAATGTAGGAACTGCAACTGGAAAATTCCGTCCCGAGCATTTCGCTTTCATCGAATCTTTTCTGTATTATCATAACAAAAAGCATAATGCATCATGTCGTTTTTACCCTCAGATACTTCATTTCTTAAATAGAGAATGGCTTCAGACATTTTCGGAATGATATATCCAACTTCCTTCAATTTATTCTTTAAATCATTTCGGGTTTCCATTACATTCTTTACTTCCATCTAATTAAATATTATATGGAGATATAATTTGAAACGTTTAAATTACAGTATTACATAGTAATTACCGAAAGAGTATTTAAATGTGCCCTCAGATTCACCAAGTCAGATCTAATTATTTTAAAAGTTGTACTAGCTGAGTATTTGTCACAGAGATGAGACACTGACATAGCTGAAATGTTTTATACACAGATTTTTATTTCAAAATATAACATTACAATTATTTATTAGCATTGTTGAACCATAACTGAAATTGTTACTTTTGTATAATTACACAACATGTAGGAACTATTAAAAAATTTATAACAAATATCTTTAACTGATAGAGTTCTTGAAATATATTCAGTACATTTTAATATATTAATTATTATAATAGTTAAATACAAATTTATTCATATATTAATATTTATAAATGAATAGAGACATATTTTTAGCATTAGGTTCATTATTTCAGTCACAGATTCATTTACAATTTTTGTTCAATTAACCAAAAAAATAACGTACCCAACAACGATGTGATCACACAAAATACAAATGGTTTGATGAGTTTACAGTACCAAGGAGATTGGCGAGAGGAATTTAATACAGCAGCTGGACAGATTCCTCCATTTGCGCAGCAATACGTGTTTCGAACGCTCATCGGATCTTCCTCATAATCACAGGTTTTATCTCTTGAAGAACCTGAACAGCTACTATAAAGCTTGTTGCTTTGAAACTTTGTCAAAATTTCTTCGATTTGTATAGTGACTAACTTCTGTTTAACAAATTTTAATGCAAATTTCAAGTCATTGCTGTCGTTAACTAAAAATCTTAATCATTGAATAGCAGAGCCTGGGTCAGTCGTGACCCAAACTTACAAAACATATACATACAAGGATACTAAACTAAATATATAATTTTTAAGCGAAAGTGTTTCATATATTGGGAAAATAATTTTTAAAGGAACAGTGAAATTTAGAAAATGAAAATAATATGGAATACAAAATTAAATTAAAATTGAGCCTCTCCGCATGGTCCGTCGTTCGAGGGTTAAACGTTTACTGTGTTTTATTTTTAATTTAAATAAGTTTTAGCCTATTTTAATCATTTTTCTTACATCCATTGCACCCATGTTTTAATTGCTTCGACTTTCTTTCTAATTCTAACATGAAAAGATATCATAGAAATATTAACACTAGAACTACCAAATCAGCCAAAATTGGTTTCAAGTTTCTTACTTTAAATTATAAATTTCAAAAATCGAAATAAAGAATGAATGTATACATTGAATTATATTAAATCCTTTATCTATTTAATTTTCAACATTATTTTCAACTTAAAAATAAGTGTGCATCAAACGTCGGTAGTTCTAGTGTTAAAAAGATGAAACATAATCTCCTTGATAACATAAAAAATATTTTGTAATAGTAGTTTGTTGAACGTACGATAGAAAATAGTTTTATGACTTTCTTTTAATCAGTTTATTGTAAATGCTTGAAAAATCGTGCGGATGAACATTCTGTACGTACAACAGGATGAACAAATATATATGTATGTATGTACATTATATGTAACAATAGGATTATTTTGTATTGATATAGTTTAACGGAACTGATTTGGTACGACTGTAAGTTTCTACATTAATGTGGGCCCAGGCATGCATACGAAAGTGTTCGTCGGGCATCCAAGAGCGCCGGAGCTTGTTACGGGGCTTTATTACGGATTTTCTTCTCACTTGGTGCTTGACAACATTTTAACGCTGGAAAGTTACAGATTTGGTTAATTTAAAAAATCGATCATGAATGTGATTGAGCAATGTAATATCTTGTAGGAGAAGGGAGAAAAAGGTGTTTTTTCTCGTCTCGGAATCGTCTGTCAGACTCGTTCAGTGGAGCTGACAACAGACGGTCCCTGCCCCTGACACCTATCATACCGCAATTCGGAACTTCTATACAGGGTGTCCCAGAACTGGGGTAGGAACGGAAGAGGGATGATTGGTGAGGTCATTCTAAACAACTTTTTCCTTTGCCAAAATGTTGGTTAAGGCTTCGTTTTCGAGTTATTAACGAAAAACATTGGCCAATCAGAGCGCGCCGTTAGCGCGGGCCGAACTACGAGAGTGTTGGGTATGTTCCGCGCGGTCGTGATCAAGTGCCGAGGCACTACGTCGGTATGATAGGATTCGTTGAGTAGAAGTTGCATCGGATAATGAATAAAAAAAAGAAAAGAATAATTGTATCGAATTATTGATTACTCATGAACAGCGAATCCTATTACACCGACGTGGTGCCGATGCACTTGATCACGACCGCGCGGAACATACCCAACACTCTCGTGGTTCGGCCCGCGCTAACGGCGCGCTCTGATTGGCCAGTGTTTTTCAATAATAACTCGAAAACGAAGCCTTAACCAACATTTTGGCAAAGGAAAAAGTTGTTTAGAATGACCTCACCAATCATCCCTCTTCCGTTCGTACCCCAGTTCTGGGACACCCTGTATATTTGAACTGCATGCCGGGCGACCGCTTGCGAGAACACTGTCACCGCCGATCTCTCGTCGCCACCTAGCGGTCCCCGGCCCGAACTAAAGGCGTCCGGGGAGACGAAACCCTCTCCCCTCCACTAAACGCCTACGATCTCGAGAAACATAGGAGTGGGGAGCAACTTGTGCCCGTAACACGATCCTCGGTGCATGCCTGGTGTAGACGGAAAAAACGAACACCGTTGGTACGACTTTTTATAGACTAAAAAACTACTTAGAAATATTGAATTTTATGGCTTTGTAATTAAATTAATGATGCACAGAAATTTGTTTAGTAACATCGTATGTATAGACGGAATATCATAGGACAAAGTGTAGTTGCGTTAAGGATCCGATACCTAAAAAATATAGTATTTTCAAATCTACAGATATATTACATAACAGTTGTAAAGACCATATTCTTATTCGTCGTCAGTTAAAATTCCTCAGGGTGGTATGTATTCGTACATTCAATCGGCCTTCAAAGTCGTAATCTCTGTATTGGGTTTGAGCTTTTAAAAGAACCATTTTTCCTTCTTCGATATTCTGAAACAAAATGTAGATCAATTTAATACTGATTAATTTTATATAACACTTATGTAAAAGCTTTGCTCCCCTGGTCACTTACGCTGGCCCAATTTTTGCTTATTTTATTTATAAAGAAATAAATATACATTAATCAGTAAACAGTGAAGCCTGGGTCAATCATGAAGCAAACTTACAAAACAAATACCAGGATATTAACCTAAAGTTAAATGTAAAATTTAGAAAATAAAAATAATATGGAATATCAAATTAGATTAAAATTAGGACTCTCTCCGAGGTCCGCCATCCCAGAGTTAAACCAGCAATAATTATAAAAAAAAAAAAAAATTAACACAAGTGATGTATTGTCTATTTATTACTCACATTAATAATGCAAAGTGCAGTACCAAGTTCATAAAGCGCAAAGGCGCTGACATGTTGATCATATGCATCATGGGACGGATTACGACGTTTTATGCAATTTCGGTAGCTTTCAATCGACGCTTGGATATCACCGAGATAAGAATAGGCCGCTCCTTCAATTAAATCGGCTAGTCCAACCATTGGTTCATCCGAACGGTTACCTTTACATTCTAATAACAGAGTCATAATAAAAATCATTGTTTATTTTATTATTATTAACATTTGACTGCAATCAGATAGAGATTTTTTCATAGAAAGCTAAGTACATTTTCAGCATTACAGTAAAAGTTGGGTAACTAGTGGAAAATCAGTACCGAAACCAGGCAGTTATGAAACGGAGGTATCTTTTCGGTTCTTACAATTGGAAACAGCTCGAGTTCAGTGTTTGAATGTTGAAGGATTTAGAAAAGAACAGAGAGCGAAAGAGAAAGAGGTCTGAGAATCAAAAGAACGAAGACAATACTAATTAAACAATACAACTTTTTTATTTTTTATTTTTGCTAAATGAAGCTTTGACCAATGTGAGGTTCTTCAAATTAAAATAAGATCAACTATGATATAATTTGAAGTATATTTGCTTCAAAGAGTGATTTTCTTTCGCCTATTTAATACCTTAATGTGATCTGAAGTTTTTTCCTTTTTAAGGTAATAAGTAAATATAATTTAAATAATATCGTATTTGGTCTTGATTTAATCAGAAGAATTTCACAATTACATTAGTAAAAGTATCATTAAGAAAAAATCAAAAACCAAAAAGTTTTGTTATTGAAAGATACGATCTTTTCTAATAAACATTTAATTTTAAGACCAGATAAACCAGCTAATTTATAATGTAACTTGATTTTGCAGCATCTGATTGTTCTAACGAATTGTTTCAAAATTCTCAAACGATACGATTTGGCAACTACCCCTTCTCACTTTTTATTTATTATTCTGGATAATGACGTTGGACGTCACATCATCAAATGTCCAATTTATGCCCATTGGTTTACAACGACGCTTAGATCTATTCGAAGTGGGTCTCGAAGGAGTCTGTGTCCTTAATAAGTTTTATAAATAAAAATATAACTTGTACTACCTAGAACAATTCCTCGTAACGACTCTGCAGAACAGGACGGCATCGCGTTCCACAAATAAAGTAACTCGTACACAAGCAATCTGTAGTACAAAACTGCGTAAGGTTGTCCAGTTTCTTGATTCAAAAGCTTAGGCGTTCGACGCGTAACGAACAAACCAAGTTGCGTCTCCTTATTCATTCGATTATTCGAATTAAGTATCTTTCGATAAGATGCCGCCACAATGTCGAATTTACCAATCGCTCCGCAACAAACTAAATAGAGAAAAATATTCCTGAATATACATGACGATAAAGGAAAAATAGGGAAGAGAAAATAAAATATCTTACCAGTTGCTAAGTAAGCGTAAAAGCTTACTGACCACCTAGATTGCTGGCGTAATTGCGTTAAAGATCGGTAAGCTTCTTCGTAACTCAATCGAATTAGGTAACACCAAGCTACTTCGTGCAAGCATAACAGCTTTATTTCCCTCTGACTGGAAATTTCAACAGCCTTTGCATACGCTTGAAGAGCATCATTTACATTTGACTGTGGGACAAAATTAATTAATTTGATAAAATTAAAATTCTTTGAAGTATTTGATAAAATATAACAATGAGATATATTTGGAAACAAAACTGTCTGGGTAACAATAATTTTATTATTAGTTCAAATATAAATAAAATATTTTTGTTCTGTTTAAAAATTGATGTCTATTGTTGTTTTATGTTATTTGAAATAACACGTGATATCTGTTTTAAGATATTTTTTTGGAATATTAAAAATAACTGATGAAGTTATTTTATAATCTTTCATCTGTCATGAAATTATTGCTGAAAACAACAAAGTATTTTTACCTCGAGTCTCTGTATCCGACCAGCGAAAAAGAGGAACAGCGCGGAATTATTGAACTCTGATTGACATTCTGTAATTAACTGCTTTGCAGCATTCACACCAGCTCGAAGATTGCTTCCATCAAGGGCGAAAAAAGGGCGGGCGATTGTGTGGTACCAAAGTAAAGATAAGCTACAAGGTATAAAAATAATAATATCATCTTAAAATACAACTTGTCTCAAAAAGGCTATACACCGCAAAAGCTATCTATTGTCCATACCAAAACTGCTAAATACTGAAGAGTTGTTCATTATTTTGTAATTTGCAACTTTGTTTTCGAAAATTGAAACGTATTTGAAATGTATTTGTATATCTGCATGTGTTCTTTTCTGTAAGTGCATCTTGAACCATGTGATCAGCTGATCGTTCAGTTCTATAAAATGGCGCTGAAGTAGGCTGTCCCACTTCCAATTTTTAATCGCTTATATTTCAGAAATGAAACTTTTGATTGCAAAATGGTAACTGTAGGCTTGTATTGGCATAAGGAATTAGAATTTTTCACGGTGTACAATCTTTTTGAAACGTGATGTACATACATATACAGGGTGTTAAAAAATACCATGGAGACCTCTACATCGCTGGATAGATCACGGAAAATGCTACAGAACTTTTTGCTTCGATTTTTCGTGATCTATCCAATGGTGTAGAGGCCATCAGGGTATTTTTAACACCCTGTATTTTATAAATAATAAAATCCCCCTAAAACTTACGTGGCAAGTGGAGCACGCATATCCTCACTCAATCGTGCATACATTAAAGCAGTGAGTCCTGCTTCTCTATCACCTTCGAAGCCCAAAAAGTGAATTACTTTTATAAGCGAGGGTGGCAATAAACTGACACACAACTGATAAATCCCATATCCAAAGCTAACTGCTGACATCAATCTGGTGACCTCGCTAGGTTCAACAAAACTGTAAAACATATTATTTTTCACTTTTATTAACCTTCCACAGTGAAATAGTAATTTATGTTTAATAAACACATTTTATTTTGTGATTAAATATCAAAACGCACAAGCATTACAGTAGACCACCGTATAATGTAATATTTCTTATTTAGATATTTCATAAAATTTACTTAAATGTTTTCCATTGTTTAAAACATTTATTGAATATAGAATATCAAAACATATAGAATATCAGATCGAAACATATCTCTTGGATTATTCAGAGCTCTACTGTATTTTGTTTTTGGATTAGTGTACCATTATCATCAAATTTCAATAATATGAATATAATAAACATTGTTATTTATAACATTTTCTTCCTCAGAAACAATGCAAGTGACAATATAATTTTTAAAACTAGAAAAAAAAACGTGTAGAGGGAACAGGATCGCCGAGGTAGCCTAATTACAAAGGGGCAATCAAAATTTTAATAACAAAAGTTAATGAAAAACAAACACTGCATTAAATATATAAATCTTAATATTATCAATCGTCAATGAAATGATGAATCAGTAATCTGTATTTTATATGGATACAGTTACATTAAAAAAAAGATGAAGCTTCTGAAATCTCAGAAGTAATGAGCTTAAGATGCTCTTCACCTTTACAGCCTAATTACTCTCCTGAAATTCCATAGTTTCCCTTTGAAATATTTTCTACATGGTTACAAATAACAAAATTATTAAAAACACCCTGTATACATTTTCCACTCTCTTTTTTTTAGAAGATTTCTCAGTATGAATCTAATATAAAAACCGTTTTCCTCTATTGTTCTTACTTCCCAAGTACCTTAATTGTAAAAAATGTATATTTTCTGCATTTAACCTTTTATGTGGTAATTATAAAATACATTATAAATAAAAAATGTATTTTTCTTTTTAACACCTGGAACATAGGTGACCGGTCGCCTACGATGCTCAGCAAATATACATCTCTAATTATTAAAAAGGTAAAAGGTATTCTTAAATTGAACTTTAAAATGATGCAGGGATAAGTAAAATGAAAGAGTTATAAATATATCACAATTTTTTATAATTAGGAATTAGAATTTAATTTTTTGGTCTTTGAGGTTGCTATCGAGCTCCGTTGGGTCTGCACCCTTACACATTTAGACTAGCCCCTTTTCAAAAATTGGACCACACCATTTAAAAATTCCAGAATTTCAAAGTTTTTAACTTTTTACTTCCCAGAATTCCAAAATTTCAAACTTTAAAAATTTTAAAATTCTGATTTATAAAATTTTTAAATTTAAAAATATCAGAATTTCAGATTTAAAAAATTTCAGAGTTCCAAAATTTTTAAATTCATAAATTTCAGACTTTCTAAACTCCAGTCTTCCAGAATTCCAAAATTCAATAATTTCAGATCTTCTAAATTACAAAATTACAAATCCTAACAGTTTCAAAATAAAAAAATTCCAGCTTTTCAGTGTTCTAAAATTTCTAAATTTCTAAAAGACCTAGCCCACCCTGAAAGAAGGTCTAAGTTATGCCAATGCTAACTTAACAAGTATTACAAACCAATACCTAAAAATCTTCAAACTTAATTATTTCACAAGCACAAGTATTTCTCTCGACGATCCTGAGAGGGGGAAAAAACAAGGATTCAATAATAAGGAGTGAGAAATGTTTGTAAGAAGAAACAACAATTACGGTGTCTGTTGTTCGGACGTGATGCCAGTGAGCGAGAAGAACATTGATAGAGAGCTTCGCAGACCTGAGGGGGACGAGACTGGTGTTGGATGGTTTGCTGAACCATTGCAAGAAGGTATAGACCATTCCGAGGAACCTGGACTTTGTAGACTTTGAAGGGAATAAGAGGAGCCATTGCACGGAGTACTGCACCTCGTATTGAATCCTAATGAAAGTGAAAGTTACGAAAATTGTTTCACTTAGAATTTTAACAAGATTTTTATGAACAAAGTACTCTATTATATAATTATGTGAAAAAATAGATGTTAAAAATAATTGGCTCGAAGGAACATATTAACCCTTGAGCAGCGGAGTCTGGGTCAATCGTGACTCAAACTTACAAAATGTATACAGGATGTTCGAAAACAGGTGATAGATTTTTTAAGGGGTGATTCTAGGGATCAAAATAAGACGAAAATCAAGAATGACGAAATAGCATTTACGGCTTTGTTTTCTAGTAATTAACGTTTAAAAATTCGAGTAAAAAGCGCTTGAAAGCTGCAACCTGCCTAGCACCGACGACTGAACGTCAGGTCAGCAGGGGCAGGTACAGTCATAACCAAGAAGAGAAAGCCGAATGCTGCAGTAGGTACTGTGCGTTGCAGCTGAGTTGCCGTCCAATCAAATTCGTTAACCTGCCTCCAGTCACACGTATTATGTTTATTGGCTGAGGCCCTTACATCCGCAAATCTATCGCGTGACGAACGTCGCCAAGGACAGACATTGAAACAGAATGAGATGAAGCGATAGCGAGCGGCGAATTGAATGCATTGGCGTAGAGGTAGATTCGAGGTTTACATTATTAAGAAAACAGGAGAGTTTTTACACTTTCCATAATGTAATTTCCATAAATTTTGCATAATAACAACTGTTGTCAAGAACGAGTATTATAAAAAATCCATTAATATCCCGAAAAAATCGCATGTTTATATAGTTAAATGTATCTTCCGCGAATATGGAAATTTTACGCCTATGCAATCTGGCCGCTCACTTCTCAAGTTACAGGCCCCTGGAGGGGATTAGGTGGAGCGAACGCACAGTCCCCTTGCCCCTCTGTCGGTTCAGTTTGTTGGTGCTCGGCAACTTAGCTGCAACGCAGAGTACTGTGCACCGATGACAAGATGTCCCATGAGAAGGGCGCAAATCTGACTGGTCAGAATAGAAGGGAGACACCTCACTTCACACGCATTTCCGGTTCTAGCGAGCTATTGGCTAAAGCGATCACGCACACTAATTCAGACCGTGTGACGAAAAAAGTAGATGAAACGTATCGGGACTGATCGTGAGTGAGATAGTGCGAGGCGAGCATTGACCTAGACATACAGCGAATCCGAAAAGTAGTGGCATATGCTTTAAAACAGAATAATTTTTTCGAACACGAACTAAACTACTTGAGTTTTTTTTTTAAGTATGAAATTATATATTAAATATATTAAATAAAGTACGAAATGATTAACGTTAGGTTACGAAAGCGTCAAAAGGTGGGGAACTGGCGGAGCGAACGAGGATCCCCCCTTGCACCTGTGCGCGGGACATCTTGTCATCGGTGGACAGTATCGAGAAACAGAATAGCTCGAGGTAAGTTTCTACTATTCAATGATTCTTGGTTATGACTGTACCGACCCCTGCTGACCTGACGTTCAGTCGTCGGTGCTGGACAGATTGCAGGTTTTAGGCGCTTTTTACTCGAATGTTTAAACGTTAATTACTGGAAAACAAAACCGCAAACGCTATTTCGTCATTCTTGATTTTCGTCTTATTTTGATCCCCTTAAAAAATCTCCCACCTGTTGTCGAACACCCTGTATATTCAATCCCATTAATTCTTAATATGCGATCAACAGTTATATTCTGATATCGGTCACCAATGACTCCCATGGCAGTCAATGTATTAAGACAATTACATACCCGATGGACTGGTACCAAAGGTACGCTGATAAAGTTGTAAAATTTGTGTGTACGCGTGTTGATAAACTTGCCAAGCTTTACGTAACATCCAACCACCACGTACGTAACCAGTGAGTTCTTGTTGTAGTAATGTTAATATTGCCGCACAGACCTGGGAGTCTGCTAAAACTATTTGTCTTTCCAATTTGTTGATATAATCTTTCTGCAACATTCGTTTTCCAAATTATTTATTATTTACATATAATTCTTGTTTAATACTAGGCCGCCATCCGCTTCGTGGCTGACATACTGGAGCGAAGCGATTAATTTGCAGTAAAAGTAACTTTAACAGAGTTTGGACACAATATAGCAATTAAAAGTAGTGTTTAATAAACTCGTGCGATAGCGTAATTCCGATTTCTCTCATAGACTTAACATCGGTATCGGTTTCTATGATCATTCCTCAAGGACACCACCGATCTCTGATTTTATTCTATATAAACACTCACAGTGACCACTGTGATCGGCTTGCAAAGAATGGTCAAAATTGATAATCTAGTTTTTCAGTTAAAAAGTCACAAAAATAATCCCTATCAGTCGTTTAATAGCGGAGCTTCGCTACAATTATCATCTCTATTAAAATAATAATAGTAATAATTACGTTAGTTTCTTCCGTTCTAAAGACCCTGCTCTTCATGGATTTTAACCATCCTATATCACTCGCACATTCTCTCTCCATATCTTTCAACAATATCATGGCCTGCTGAAGTTTATCATTCTCAAATGTCATTAATGCATTCTGAAAATTCATTTAGGAATTATTCGTATTTGTTTTTATTTTCAAATTATACAGAGTGCGGCAAAATGAGTAGTGCAGGGATGAAAATAGTAATGGCTTGTGCAAACATAATTCGAAATTGTTGGCTGTGAAGAGGAATTTTCAGTAATTAACATTTCCAACAATTTCTTTATGACTTAACTTTAAGTAAATAATTAATAGGAATATCATTTCTTTGTAGCGGATAATTTTTCCCGCGAGTTCAAAGTTAAAATTATAAATTTTTAATTTAAAAATATTAACGAAGAACATTAGAAGTCTCTGAAACAAAATTTTAGCAGCTTGGAAAAGATTTTGTACTAATTTGAGGACTGAAAATATTTATACACGATATTTACACACGTATATCACTGACTGTATTTAATATTTAATTATAAAAAATGCCCAGATCTATATAAATTTCAAGAATTAAAAGAGCGGTGTCATCTTAAAATGAAGCTAAGTATTATCCAACACAATAAATAATACTGTAAGTTTTCATTATAATTTTGTTCTTTATTAATAATTACGTAAGCTGATACAACTTCACATAGAAGGATATTAGTAATCAATTAATAATGTGTTAATTACTATGCAATACAAAAAATTAAATTATTTGTTTCGATTATTTACAACACTAAAAAATGAGATACAAATATCCATGTAAATTTTATTTAAAAAAAAATACGTATATGTTCAATAAAATTTCAATTGTTTTTTTTTTTAATTATTTTATTAAAGGATCATTAAACGTTTATTAAAAGTTTATTAAATAGTAATTTTTACTTATTTTCGCAGTCTCTTATTTGAAACTTATGTAAAAACCTTGCTTTAAAATGGTTGCCTTAAAACTTTTTTTAAATTAAAAATTTTTCATTACGAATATTTTATTATACCAGAACATAATTTTAATACACGTTTTACGTACCATAAACAGGACAAAGCAGCGACCTGCTTTTACGTGAAAGCTATGAGGGTGTCCAGTAAATAGGGCTTCAGCCTCTTCAACTTTATTATTCAAAAGAAGAGAAATTCCCGTTCTAGCAATATTCCACTCTTTCATATCTTCTGTCTTTTTAGCCATGATTCTTCAGGGTGATTGAAACGTTTAAGAGTTAACTGAATTTCAAGAGTAATGCGATATTTTCAACGGGATAGTCACGTGCACAGGAAAAAATCATGTCAACGGGTATTATAAAATAACAAGATTAAGATCAGTTTCTTAAATCAAACGAATCGATGGTAAACTTAATTTTTCTTTCTTATGAAATAAAATTCAATGATTAGAAATAGCATCGAAGCGTGTAATTGGTAAATATGCGTCACGGGTTTGCCAGACGTGCTGCCATATCAGTATGAATAAGTATGTAAAATATTCTCGCAATAACATCTTCACCCATTTCTTCGTTTTACTGCTCAACAGAGAAGAAATGTTAAACTCAAAATATAATTGAATACTTCCTTAAAAAACTAGAATTTTTCACAGTTAGAACACTATTAATTTTAACATGTAACTTGGGCCACTTTCGATGAATTATCAATATTGTACACTGTTAGAGGAATTATATTATTTGTATGTATTATATATTGAAGCTTTTCCATGTTCAGAAAAAAAATTAATCTGTACTACATAACACACAGCACAATTAATTTTTTAAATATTTATTTCATATTTCTGATTCTCAAGATTTTAGTTGCATCTTTTATGTAATGAATCCTTTCTGTTCCTTTTATTATTTTATGAGTAATATTATTAAATATGTAAATCTATTTTCCGGCCTTTTTCACGTTTTGCAAACTGTTACAACTACACGACACCACTATTATAAGAAAATTTCATTAAAAAGATATTTGTAACTATTTGAAAAATATTCGAACATGACATTTACCAAACAGAGCTTTTTATCTACAGTGCCACGAGTTGACTAAATTCTCCTAACAGAGCGCAATGCTGCTGCCACCATCGCCGAGTTTTCATATATAGATGTTATTGATTTTAGTCTATATAACGACGACCCTGAAAGCGCGTTATGATATTAGGAGCAGGTTTCTCTGAAAGCATTTACTGATTAACATATTTAACAGAAAAGAAGTAGAGCTAACAATAAGTTTAAACACTGTTCTGATGCAAATAGTATAATGAACAATATACAAAATAATACCATAAAACTTCTGTTATATAGCTTTTGTACAATACTGTCTTTACCTGCGATTATTTCTTTATTTTATATACTTATAATCAATGATAAACTTTGAAAAGCATTTACATGTTAATATATTATATATATACGAGTGTGTGGATACCTTTTCTGAAAGCACAGTCAGCGTATTTGTGTTTTAACAAGAACAATACTGACGGTTTAAAAACAACCTATGTAAAATAATTTACATAGTCTTATTTAAAATCTCTTAACAATATAGATTTATAAAATCTGTACATTTATTTACATCTGTATAATTTAATAGTATTATCCCTAAAAGGAATGTCATATAAATTCTAAGCCCTCAAATTTCTTATCCAACACTTTCGCTTCAGGCATTATTATGTTCCCTTCAATAGTAAATGCCATAATGTATGTGGCAGTTTGTCCCTGATATTCTTCAGTTTTAAGAGCTACAATGATTGAATCTTCGGAGCCCGGTAAAAACTTGAAACTTGAGAATCCTCTAATTGGAATTAAATTACCAATTTTGGTAACCTGAAGAAGAGATATTATTAAAGTTTGTTATATTTCAATTTAATAAAGTGCAATAAAATATAATAAAATAAGTAAATTAGAACCTTAATGTCTACAAAATTTTCATCCGCAGTTAGTAATATGTTACAACTCATTGTTTCATCTTTAGTTTCATTGTAACGTTCGTGAGAACATCTTCTTGGTAAAAAAAACCACCTTTTATGTATATCACTCCAGGCTCCTGATTCGTGTATCATATAACCTGTAAGAAATGATTAATTAACATTTAGGTAAAATTTGTGTATATAAAATCACTGTACATAAAATGATAACACACCTGGATATTCAATGTTAATTGCTTGCCGTAATCTTTTATAATTTGAAATCCAATTCAAGGACTCAATTTCACCACGGGAAGATACTACTTTTATCCAGAGGGGATTATTGTGTTCAAACTCTCCTGAAGGAGTAGTCCATTCTTTGCCCATACTGCCAACGTATAAATGTTCATCTTTCACAGTTGCCCATTCAGATTTAAATCCTAAAAATAATTCCATAAGTTTGATATTAGTATGAATCTATTTTTATATTGAAACATAAAAAATTTTATATTGGAAGAAAATGTGACATTTACCTTTAGTATTTTTGCCATTACCATCCATTAATATGACCCATGGGTAAGCTTCTTCTCCTTCTATAAAATATATAACTCCAGTACGGTCATCGAAAGACAATAACCGTCCATCAAACGTGACTAATTCAGATAATTCCATTCCACGTCCTTTCATAGTTAAAGATGATGTTAACATTTGATTTCTGTCATCCCAAAGGATAGTAATTAAATTTGTGCTAGGGTTCCAAAAGAGACTTCCAGTTTTCATAATGCTGTGCCATATGTTCTTTTTATCTAAACTTTTGGAGTTATGGTCAAGATCACTTACTATTGCTATTCTATAGGTAATACCCTTTGAAGTTTTAAATGGAGTTGACAAAGGGTACGTTTTATTGTATTTATAATATCGACATTGTGTTAAAAACGGATTCGATGGCGAGGAGCGTACTACTCCACGTAACAAGGGGAATCCAAGTAAAAATAGAGGCACAGTTAATAGTAAGAAAATTAAAGCTAAATACTGACTTTGAATGCGAAAAGTACTATTGGCAACTCTGTAGACGTGAGGAGCACGTAGTGCTTGTCTCCAGTCACGTAAATAAGACATAGTTTCTATACTTTTGTTCTGCATTCGAGTTCGTATCATATCAAGTCATACGAAAAAGTTAGCTTTGAACTTATATGTTTCAAGTTGACAACTAAGAACTTAACCTAACATAACCCCATTTTTTCTTTCTCCGTCATAATCGTCGACGGCGAAAGGGAAATGCAGGCAACTGGATACATCTGCGCCATCTGAAACAAACTAACAAATTTAAATACCGGTAATTATAAAACCATAAAATATTCATACAATATATTAAACTTTTACCATTTTTATTTAATTCAAGTTAGTGAACAGAAAATTTTATAATGTATTAAATATGATATATAAAGTGCAAAGTATACTTTATTATTTCATATTTATAAAAAATAGAGTATTAGATATAAGGCAATATTAAATGAGTAAGATAAATATTGAAATTAAAATTAAAATTCATAACACGTGTTTTGATCAAATTAAACAAATTTTATTTTACATCGATTAACTTGGACGTTCATCAATGATGAATTATGTAAGCATGTTATATTAATTAAATAAGCAGTTCGATACCACGGTTATTATTATAATACCGAGTTATATCTTTCTAAGTTTCTAATTGTAATCAATCTTTGCATTGAATCTTCTAAAATCTTGTGTTTATCGAATGAAAAAATTCAAAAACTTTATTATAAAATTATAATGCTTCACGTTTAAGATTACATAATTGTAAGCGTAAAGTAATCGTGGAAGAAATAACAGCCAAGCTTGTTCTTATTTATTTGACATCGCAATTGAACATAAACTACAATTGTTTAGAACATTCTTGTATTGGAACGGTATTGGTCTGTATCGTGTCAATAACGATGCAAGCATCCATTGCATATTCTTGGACGTTGGGGTTGAACGAACGAGTCTGGGGTGAAACGAATTGAGGGGGTGGAAAAGGGGGATGGAAAGGGGAGTCTGTGAGGGTGGTAAAGTACTCGTCAGTCGTGTGACGCATTTCCCGTCGTCAACATCGGTTATATTGCCAATACGTTAAACAGCGACCGCATTTCGAGTCTCCACGTGTTTCTCGCGTGTGTCTTGTGTGATCTGATTGTTATTGGTCAGCGTAGTCCGCGGCAACCTGTATTATCGATCGAACGTATTTTGCGCACGTTGCTGCAGTTACTCGCGGCATTGTTACTACTGTCTCGCGTACAGCAATTTCCTTTCCGCGTGGACGTAACGTTGTGTGTTCATTCGGTCCGATATTTAATCCATTTCGCGTGACGCAGTTGTATCTCCTCTAGATAGACAATAACAATAATATTTCCACTTTGTTTTCATCTGCAAACCCGCAGACCAACTTGCCGTCCAACCGCCATGTTTAATTTCAAATTCCACGTCTCGCGCATTAACCTGAAAGACAAGTGTGTGCGTGTGCCGATTTGTTGACATAAAAACGTCAAACACGTCTTCCATGAAACGTATAGTGCGGTACTTTTTGCAATTTTGTGTATTAAAGGAATTACAATATAGTACAAGTTGGAAATCGTTCCATAATTTTCGTGATCTTCAATCAATTTTCAAACTGTTTTATCGATGTTACAAGTTCGCGATTGACCGTCAATGTGGCGCCAAAACAGGAGAAGGCTATGTTATAAAAACGGATATATTCAAAGGACGATGACTATTTAACGTCAAGTTCAGTGTTTACAATAAAATAGTTACTACGATATTTGTGATACAGTTTTTACGTCGGATTCTATTAAAACGTGTTTATTACGAACCACGGGTTTCGTGCCGATTATGGTGTTATGGTTATCAGTTTCATTTGACATTTTTTCTTTCCCGTTTGTGAATATTCATCCATGGTACATTACTTCAAGATTGTTGTATTCCCGTTGTAAAAGGTAAGCATCTTTACTATTTCCATTTTTAGAGAGATGTACGAATAAAAAAATGATGTAGCAAAATTACAATTTATGCATATTATATAATATACATTGCCTATATTACAATTTATATATGTTTAAATAATGAAGATAAAAGTGTTTAATAAAACTAACTTAACAATCAATGAATTTATGTAAGCATGAGTATTCTAATAGAAATATCAAATCATCTGATACAAATAACTCATTCCCTCTTAAAAGAAGATTTCAAAGCTTCTCGCGATGAAGAGGTTAGAACATTACCAACAGCTTAAAACTTTGTTGACGAGTTAGCCCATATTCATTATTATAATTCAAGATATATACCGTCGAAGCGGTCACATCTACTAATTAGACTCGTGTAAAATTCGGAAATTGGTCGATGTGAGAGTAGTATCCCCTCTTACCCCTGTGCTGTCACGCGAGACTTCTTGTGAACGAAAAATAGTGCATATACATAAACAATATATAGAATATTTGTAATACGGTAGACTTACTGCTCTAGGTTGCATGATAAGGATTCGAGGTAACACAATACCATGTAGGGCTAGTCGTAAGAAGACACCAAGGTATACGTAGGAAGCACTGTCCATGACGATGTATCGTTAGACGTTCTTTAGCGTTGTAAAAACCTAACCTCAGTAGCGTCTCGTGCAAATGGGTTTATTTGTAAGGAGCATAATTGTGCTGGAAAGGTGGCGCATAAGAGGGATAGGTAAACACTGTAGGAAAAAGACAGAGTAAATGTGCGTCAGGGATAGGGGGATGACTTCGCGGAGTTGGTACGACGATACTATGGGGTAGGGGGTGGGTTTCAGTGACGTCGTGCCAAAACGGAGGGTAACGAACGAACAGGGGTGTAAAGAAGCCAGAGGGGAAAGGGAAAGTGACTAGGGGTAGAATGCGTGGACGCGTCGGTTTCGTCGCGGTTATAGGTTTGCGTATTGTATCAGATCTTAGGTTGAACATATACGGAAGCGATGAAACCTTATTAGGTAATTCTTGGGTGTAAGTTTATTTTGTTTCACAGTAGTTTAATTGTTAATGATCGTGACATTTTTTATATGTCAAGTATACATACGGTTCAAAAGATACAAATATAACTGACTTAGCATTGTAAATGTGATTTTTAACAAATGTGAAATGTAAAACAATTAAATTCATAAAATGAGTATTGCTTAATTATTACGGATGATAAAACCATAATAATGGAATTGATCTTTTGATTTTTTGAAAAAATGAACTGAGATAAAGTTTTTATTTCATAAAGAACAGTTCTTTATTTATTAAAATTTATAAAATAAGAACAATAGGTCGATTTATAGTAAATTAACAATTTTAACTTTGAATTTCTACTTTATAAATTTTATACATTTTTATTAATTCCATTCTTGAAAATTAGATTTACAAATTAATTATTGTTACAATTGTATTATGAAATACCACCTAATATAAATAATGTTACATTTGGAATATGTATCTATGAAAATATGCTTTTGATAATGCTGATGCTTGTTTTAAATGTTAACAAAATTAAAAAATATACTGATCGAAATGAATAACCTCCTCCTTTTTCGAAGTCGGTTAAAAATAGCTGATAATAATAGGGTAAATAGGGTTTACCAGACCTCTACACGATACATTGCCATGGAAACGGTACTGTCTCATGTCTATTATGATGCATACCCCTTTGCTCAGCTATTTTCAAAGACACCTCTCAAGCACATCGTAAGGGGTTAGACTATTTTGATCAATTTAAAGAATATTCCGTTATGAAGAATTTATTTTGTAAGCGACGAAAACATTTTTACATCAAATTTTTCAATAAAAATAGATACTTAACTTTTTGGAATTCTTTTATTATCTCGGTTCGCTTACATAATAATAACCATTAGTAAGTATATTCTGGTCTTCTCACTATTTATCCAACTTTCGCAAATACATTTGTTTTTATATTTCAAATATCATTTCGAATAATAAATAATTTGGGAGATAATTGCGCTTAAAGATTTAATGGGTCATCCTATATATCACACTTAATCTGTTCGTACTATTATAAAGAAATATACATACCGCAATGCATAATATCTCCTATAATAAATATTGGATGGATCTCATCACTATCGATGAGATACATATAATGATGTGCTTGTGTTTTAGGAAACGGACGAAAGAGGGTGGAATGAGGAGATTCATCCGGTGACCTCGTGCCACGCGTGGTAATGCTACTGGCAAGTGGTGCTTCAATACCGACCATCGCCGGTACCGTTGAGGAGGAGGAAGAATATGCACGTAGCGAGGCGAACAGCGCACACTACGATGGCTATATTACCGATCATACTGATCTTGCTTCCGAAATCGACATCGATGAATCCGAATACAGGCGGGAACTTCTCAACGACGTACGTTTAAATATATTCATATTTACAACGTATATGTTACAGTAAAATTCAGTAAATGCACGTACTTGCATGTACTAATTTGGTTAGTGACTGTATTCAAAGGAACGAATATAACCTAACATAACCTTTATTGAATACAAACAACCAATTTTGTTAAGAGAACATTTTTATTCTTTAAGTATACCTATATATTTAAAACTTATATTTTCGATAATATGCTTTAACTAACGCGCTATAGGAATAGCACACATTATCTGGTAAATGAGGAGTAGTATACATTCTTATACCGCAGTTCACCAGAGTCCATAACTGCGAAAAGACCTGTTTTCGTTCTTCGCGCATCTCCAGTACGCATCTTTGCCCTGATTGGCGATACTCCCAAACGAAGTGGAAAGCTATTAGCAGAGAGCTCGCTGCGTTCTCCCACCATTTTCCAAGCTGCGCGTCGCAGTTATGGACTCTGGTGAACTGCGGTATATATTCAATTCATACTTTGGCTAAAATCGTACGTAAATGCATATATTAATTAGCATTTACGAAAATTTACGATTTTACTGTGATGTATACATATATAGTGGGTGATTAAATTATTATTAACACTGAAATTTTGAAGTTGAATAAAAAGTAGAATTGAAAATGCACTTATAATGATACCTTTTTAATTACTTTTATTATTATTATCATTTATTCCTTCACTTTATTTTTGTTACTTATTATCTTTATTGTGTTAGTATTATGTTTTAATGACATATAACAATAATTTGAAATCCACAGATTAAAAACAAGATATACATATTAATATTACGTTTCGTCACTCTTTGCATCGACAATGATTCCTTAACTATGCTGTCCCCTTTCGGGTCTATATGACCCACAGTAAGAATTAAATTTCCATATGTTCTATGTTCTTAAAGATTTTCTTTTGATTTTTAATTTGAATTTTATGTTTACTTATTTAAGATTTTACATTTTTAAGAAATCAATTGTTTCAAAAATTGCAAAAATTCAGATGCTTTCGATATTTTTTCGACAATTTTCTTATATTATAATAAAAACCGGAAATTATAAAAATGTAATGTTTCCATTAGTTCATAACAATTTAGTCACCACTGTATTTAATTTCTTATATGTGCATTACAGTTAAGTCCTATTGCAGAATATTTAAAATTAATAATACCGTAAAGGATATTTTTTTTAATAAAATGGCACTCTTCATGCACTTTATGTGAATTGGTAGGGGAGTCGAGAGTCGGAGGGTGTAATTGAAGCTGAAGCTTTCACCCCTTTTTTTTCTTTTTTACCAAGTCGTTACCTCTGACCGATGAAAAATGTTATTCCTTTACCATAACGGCCGTTTGCAGGAAATGGTATTTTGAGAAAGACTCGTTTAAAGTTTCACGTACTGTTTTTAAGTATATGAGAGGTAAAAAATTGTACTCGCATCTTATCAGCTATTACATGGTCACAGAGTAAGCTTCCTCTTCTTCATTTCGCAGCAAAGCCGCATTTGCCTCCCTATTATCCTTGCCTCTTCTGATGCTCTTCTCGCAAAGGAACATCGCGAGCTCTTTACTTCTCGATTTAGATGAAACTTTGTGGGTTCGCAGAGTGATTCAAGATACGAATAATGTAATGCCTCATTTGTGCCCCATCGCCCTTTAAAGGTCTTTTACACGGAAATACGTGCTTTGCGATATGCATATATGATAAATGCTGGATGTATTATACATTCGGGTGCAATGTACGTACATAAGCTTCGTTTAGCTAACAATAAGAGTACAAATAGGGGGAGAAGTTTCTTACTATTTGATTTTGATTTTGGAAGAATCTAGAAAAAGAAATCTAAGGCAGAGCCTCGTGTCCTTCGATATAAAAAATAAGAACGAATAAGGGCAATGGTTGGGTTTTCCTTCTACATTTTTGTTATTAATCTAGGGAAGCCTCCTGTACGTGTACAGTATCGAGCAAAGTAGATTTCCCTAGGGAAAATAGAGTTATAGGAGAAGCAGGAATTGTCAAAGCTTTAATTTTTATGATATTAATATTAAAAGTGGTTTTGAAAAGAAACGAATATAATTTTAAATTATTAAATATAAAATTTAGTACATAGATGAGAAACATGAATAATGAATAAATATCGCTTCAAATTTTCCCGTGTAAATGTTTATACACAAGTGGCGGGATTACACAAATGTGTAATAAGCATTCAAAGAAAGTAAATGACAAAAATTAAATAAGGTCTACGAACAAATAAATAAATTTCTTAATAGGTATTTTCATTTAAAGATACCTATTAATCAGCTTTTCAGATTATTAAAAAACCACTCTAATGTTTGTTCTTTTTTTTTATATTTTGTTGCAGAAATGGCGGATGCTGTTTGATAAGGTACGTGCATCCATCGTCAAAAAATAAGATCCTACTAAGCTTGTCTTCAGCACGACTGATTCTTTTTCCTCAGTTTGATCCCGAGGGTTTTGGCGAGATACCGATGGAGGATTTTTTGGTGGCTTTGAAAAGTCCCGAATGGAAAACCGAAATACCAGCAAATAAACGGGATATTCTTCTTACCAGAGCAAAGGAATCGCGTGTCCAGGCGGTGACGTTCCAGGATTTCGTCAATGTGGTAAGTACATTCAAAATGATATCAGATTATCTCATAAGCGATGTTCTAATTTTGAGGGCTGTTTTTACACCTTCGGTATAAATGGTAAAATATTGTAATACGAGTCGAATATGTCTTTTAATTGTGAATTATACACATTTACCAAAATTTCATCGCAATTGGGGTTCCTTCGATAATTCCTCGTATTAGTTCGCAACATTTATAGCACCCTTGTGCTATGGTTACAGCTCCCAGGGGTGCGGAGTTGAGCTCGCAACCTCTAATTTTGGGTTGTGTATCATTGCTTTTATCTACTGTAGATCGCATTAATATTCGGTCACCATGATATTTAAATAGTTATTACCCAATATCTTTATTTTTAATTATTTTAGAGAAACAAAAATTTATATGCATTGTTAAGCATACATTGATTTAAAAAAATCTTCCTACTCAGGAGAGCCAGCAAAATATCTTTGGGAGGTTTTAAAATAATTGTCACCTTTTTCATTATTCTTCATTAAAAAATTATTAGGTGTTTGTGAAAGTGTACTTTTTAAAGTGGAAACTCCATTTAAGAAAGTTAATATATCAGGTGTACAGCACCGAGCATAGTAGGCTTCCTTAGGAAAAATGGCAATGTTTTGGGTTCCTCCCTGTCGTAGGCTTCTCGGATTTCAGGGTTCAGGGGTTCCTGGCCAATGCCATAGGCTTCTTCTTCCCTGGGTCCGCACTTTTCAGTCATATACTAAATCTTATGATATTTAATAATTAAAGATTATGCTATTTATTTTTAAATCACTTTTGATATTAATATAGTAAAAATTAAGGTTGTGAGAATTTTTGCTTTCCCTGTAATGCCATTTTCCATAGAGAAGCCTACTCTGCTCGATTCCATATAAATTAATTTAGCTCTTGCAGCATTACGACTTGTTAATTACTATTTTAAATTTGAATAATTTTCCGTGCTTCTAAGGATTTGAAAAATGGTACGAAAAAAAAAAATAATGAAAATTACTATGACTCTTCAGAAATAAATCTTCAATTAAAATTAAAAAAAGTAAATGGGCATTTTTTCGATTGGAGTCTATTTAAAAAATTATTTCGATTGGATATTTGATCAGTTACAAGAATTTTAAGTCAGCACTAATTTTATATTAATTTCTTTAATGCTAAATTTTTATTATTTCTATCAAAAAATAGTCATTCGACTATATTTCTTTCAACTTTTGTATGCAGTCAAATATGTTATAATTATTATCTCCAATTCTAAAACTAGGGGTTGGTAGATTATTGCAGTTTAGATATTCTCATAGCGATATTTCAAGAAAATTGCAATGATTCAATGGTTCTACATAAAATATACACAACAATGTAGAACATCTGTGGAGTTTGCTCGAGCGAATAGTTATTAATTGGAATCAGGTTCAGCAAATATGCAGCAACTATGTAATACGAAAATGTTAAAGAACAGTATAGGAATTTTATGAATATCATGGAACGAAATATTAATAGCTGGAATTTTTTGTCTTTTTTTAGAGAAAATGAAGGTATTATTTAAATAACTGATACATTTGCCTACTTTTGATAATTATTTTATTTCTACTAATATCAAATATTGGTCATTAAAAGATATACATATAGATATCTCTATCTCAGAACTTTACAGTTCAGATTTTTCTATGAAAATCAGATCACAAGTACTTTAAAACATTTTTTTCAACATACAAATATTTAGTTTCGTTGATCTAATTATATTAGAAACGAAATATGTTACAATAGATAGATAAAAATCAGTTGAAGGGAACGTGTTAAAATTACGAGAAATTTTTATCGATTTTCGGCAAGCAACAGTTTAAGTCACGAACAAATGAGGGATGAAAATGAGAAGCAAAAGAAGTTTCGCATTCGCGATGGTTAAATGGACTTATTCTGCTCTATGGACAATCTTGGAAACTCCTTATTGTTCGTTTATTTGTCAATCCGAAAAATGCGGTTGCGGCCTGAAATTTCGTTTTCACGGTACTAGAACCCTACTAAAGAAATGAATGAGATGCGAGAAGAAGAAATGTGACCAGAATCTGCTAGATAAATATCGCAACAATGATAATCTCACGGTTTAAAAGCACGCTGTACCGACAGACAGTTCTTTGTTCATTTTTAAGCTTGCTGACAAGTTTTCGGCAGTTTCCTCTTACTTTCTTTTCTCCTCGGGCAATGTCGAGGTAAGCAGATTTGACGTTGAGTGGCGGAAAATTGTTCGCGTAGAAATCGAAATGATTCTAGTCGCAGGTTAAACGACTCGTAAAGAAATTTCTAACAAAACCATCTTCATAGCCTTAGTATTGATAGTCTGTAACGATTTAATCTATTAAAGTATTTGCGAAAGTTATCTTGATCCTCTTCAATAAAATTTACAAATTGTGGAAAAACAGTTACATATCTTTTTCTTTTTCTTCATTCAAATTATAGACACAGTCTATTTAAAATAAATAAATATATTTATTTTATCATTTATTAATAATAATATTAATAATATGTATATTATTTACATATTATTATTTCTTATCTAAATTAATGTTATTTATTTCGTCATAATAGAAATCACAGAAAAAGAAACAGGATTGTAACTTAATTTTTCGTTTAAAAGTTTCTTATCAATTGAAGTACGTTGAAAAATTATGTTTCTTTTAATGTTTAAAGAAAAATTATCTAATAATTCAGATAAAAGTTGTAGAATCGTCAAATTTGATTTTTATTGCACACAAATTTTATTCTACATTTTCTTTATTATTCTACATTATTTTACTTTTTTTTTTTAAATTGATTCATCTTATTATTAGATTCTTTTATTGCCATCAGAAGTACTTCTTATCCGCAAGTAAGTATTTTAAATCATAGTTTCTCCAGGTCCTGTATAGATGGCACAACATGTACCTTAATACGTATTTAAAAGCTTATTTCCAAAATAAGACATTATAGTCTTCTATTTTTTCATTTTTTAGAATTCAAGGTTGAATATTAGTAGAAACTAATGAAAAATTAATAAAACTTTGATTTTTTTCAAATATTTAAAACATTTTCATTTTACTAATTAAAGATAAGAAAAATGGGTTTAAATACGTGTAATTACGTTCTAATTTTAATTGTTATAGATAATTGTAATAAAAGTAAGCTGTAGCTATATTGCAACGCTAGGAAGTAAAGTTAATTTGCCGGCAGACAAAAAATCATTTTTGTTTTATGTCAGTAGATTTAAGAAATTTATATGGTATTTATATTCATAAATGTTACTTTTGGAAATAAAACAGATGAAGGACAATAAGAAACTTTTATGTTTCTGGTAAAGGATTATTAATTTTATTTTTTATGATACGTATATATCGTCAACTAGCAATGAGATAAAGATGCTATAATTTTCTTATGAATTAATTATACATATCATATAGTAAAGATCAAAAGTGAAAAGTATATTTTTGTATAATTATTAAATAATTTCAGAATTCTTTAATCGTTTTACTACACGGTATCTAAAGTAGATTTAATATTAAACTAATTGTGGTTATGAGCTAAGTTATGCCTTTGCTTCCTTTTTTTACTATTTTCAATTTTCATTATAATCATACTGAAAAGTAGCCATTATTATTATCTGTGTATATAAATTAATTCTGTGCTCTTTCTTTGTTTTAATTGAAGATTTATTTTTGAAAAGTCATAATAACTCCATTGAGGTAATTTTTATTATTATTATATTCTCGTGCCACTTTTTAAATACATAGAATTGCGGGAAAGTATCAAAATTAAAAATAGTAATTAATAAACCGTAATACCAAAAGCATTTAATTAATTTATACACCTAATATTATTCAGTATTTTCCTAATTAATGACTACAAATAACTAAATCGTAAATTAATGTGTTTTTTTTTTTACTATTATCAGTCATTATTTTTCCCCGTAAATTCGTATCATAAAATGTAATTTTAAATAAGGTTCCATATCTTTGCTAGGTAATGTATCATCTTTTTTCCTTAGAATGATACTGAAAAGCAGTTTTCTCGTATTTGCTATTCACAGTTAAACATTTGGAATTCAGTTCTTTTACCACGAGAGACGACACGGTATAATAGGATTAAACCCGCAGGTGGTTAAAGGGAGATGTAATTATTCAAGAGCATGGAATAGCAAGTATTCTCTCCATGGTAGTATGATTTACGGTTGGCGGGATCGAACGACGGTAACTAGGATTTCCTGTGTACATGCATCTCTCTCGTTACACTATATGTATACCGCTTGTATACTTATTGTTTCACACGATCACGAATGAATCTGATAATCTTGTTTGCTATACAACCAACACTGTACATATTTTATGCTGCATAAGGCTTTAACGTCGACAGTAACAAGAGATCTCTAGAGTCTTTTTAATTAATGTGTAATTTACTATTATACCGTTTGTTTCTCACAAATTAGTTCACTAATTGGAACTGATGTTTTTATTTACTTATTACAAAAGTTATTAGTTGGAAATATTTGGATTATCTTATTGGAGAGTTTGAAATTTCTTTAAAATTTAACTGGGTGTTAAACATTGGTGAAATTTTAAAAAGGCTAGCTGTATCAAAACGAAGATAATTGCTTTTAACTAATTAATTTATTTATTTATTCATTTACCTGTACATAGGTCTGAAATTTGTATATTAAAAATTAAGCCTCTCATTTATGAAATATCTGGGTAGACAAAAATTCTTGAAATTTGGAAATATTAGAATCTTAGAATTGTTAAATTTTAGAATTTGAGACTTTTGGAATTTTGGAATCTTTAAATCTTAGAATTGTGGAATTTTTGAATCTTCCAAAGGTGAGGGGGGCAGTCTACATTTTTGGAGGAGGGGGTCAGGCCCACTATGGTCCCTGTCTAATTACGCCAGTCTTCTTGAATTTCCTGATTACGAATACTCGTTTTAGATACTTGAAATTAAAGTTAACCCTTTAACCATTCGGATGGCGGACCATAGAGAGAGCC